TGCAAAATTTAAAATCCTGGATTTATTACTACGTCGGAATAGACCAAGAAAATTCGAAAATATTGTATTGATACCACTTTATAAAAATATAAGACGAATTACAACAGTGAAATACAAGAACATGATGAACTTATTACGATATATACCACCGGAACACTTCTAGACTTCTTCAAATCCTTCCCGCATACACAAAATGTAGATGAGCAGTAAATTGTTATGTAATTTATATAGTTAAAAGATTTCTTGAATTGTATAAATTGTGTTTTTGAAGTCTTGTAAAGAAATATAAAACAAATTGAATATTGATTTTTCAATTTGAAGCATTTTAAATAATGTCGAATAGACTTGGGCTCTTTCAAATTTTATAACAAATCTAGTTGTTAATTTTGAAAGTGGCTTAACTCCATTTNAGTTAAAAATATGCTGGATACGTTTTTTGAGAAATGAACCATATAAAATTTTCTATAAGATACCAATGGATGAGAATGCAAAATTTAAAATCCTGGATTTATTACTACGTCGGAATAGACCAAGAAAATTCGAAAATATTGTATTGATACCACTTTATAAAAATATAAGACGAATTACAACAGTGAAATACAAGAACATGATGAACTTATTACGATATATACCACCGGAACACTTCTAGACTTCTTCAAATCCTTCCCGCATACACAAAATGTAGATGAGCAGTAAATTGTTATGTAATTTATATAGTTAAAAGATTTCTTGAATTGTATAAATTGTGTTTTTGAAGTCTTGTAAAGAAATATAAAACAAATTGAATATTGATTTTTCAATTTGAAGCATTTTAAATAATGTCGAATAGACTTGGGCTCTTTCAAATTTTATAACAAATCTAGTTGTTAATTTTGAAAGTGGCTTAACTCCATTTGTGGTAAAAAAGCACATATTATTCACTTAATAATTGCTATTACTTTAATAGGAATTGTAAATTTAACTCCTTAGATACATTTAAGCAGTGTGACACATTGGTATCCTAACGTATATTTTTAATTTTATTCAGACGCAAACTCTTAAATATCTCAACTTAAATATAAATGGACTTAGGTCATTTTCCAAATAAACGGTTCATATATATAGATGTAGATTTATATATATATATATAGGTGAGATTTTCGCATACCTTTCTACCGGGTCATGGTCGCACGGCTCGAAATCGTACTGGATGTGTTGCTTCAACACTGGGTAGTACAAACAACAACACTGGATATTGTACTCTCTGGTGAGCTGCAAGGCAACGTTTAGCGCATTTCGCGAGCGTGAGTTAGCGAGAGACTGACGATACTCGTTAATCGATAATCCCCCTCGAATAATCTTTCCCCGAGACATCCCCGAAGGGAGGGGGACGTACCTGCTGCGCCTGGTCACGTATCTTGCCGAAGCTGTTCTGCGTGGCCATGCACGTGAGCAGTTCCGTGCGGCCCATGAGGGTGAGATACTCCGCCACCTTGTCGTAGACTCCCTGCTCCAGGTACTACGTAAAGAAGACCAATAATTGACCAATTGATGACCGGATAAAAAAGTTCGCTTCTCTCCGTCTCTCAGGTGTTTATACGCCCGGACCATCGCTTCCCTCGTGCGTATCTTTGCGTCTGCTTACGCAATTCGGATACTCACCTGCATGGTGCTCTGAAGGTCAATCACGAAGTAGCGGTTCTGGTGGGCGTTCGCGGCGGCGAGGCTGAGCAGGTAATCGTTGCGCGCTCCGGTCGACTTCTCCTCCAGGGCGTCCCGCTTCGAGCTCACCTGCTCACGAAGGGAGGAAAACGCAATGAGCTCTCGCGATTAGACACATATCGTCGGGGATCTGGATTTTCGTACCCGGGAGTGTCGTACCTTGGCGCTGTTCTTCTGCAGCGACGTTATCGACTGGAAGAAGGAGCCTTTCTTCTTCTTCAATCTGGAAGGATCGATCGCCACATGAATTATTTTATGCTTGCAATTACCGTAGCACCGGCAGCCGTATAGTCGGCCAGCGTGCGTTAAAAAAAAAAAAAGAACTTCTTCCAATTAGTCGAACGATCTTCGAAAAGAAAGAGAGAGAGAGATTTTGACGAGCTTATAAATAGATTCGACAATTCTCGACGTGCTCGGCGCCAATGCCAATAATTTCACGAATCTCGCGGGCGAATAATTCGATCGGATCGATATGAGACGCGTCGACGCGTCGGAAATTAACGGATTTAACTGGCGGTATTTAATTGAAAGGCGGTGAACGCGGAATTTCAACAAGTGGCCCCCGCTCGAAATCGAAGAGGGTGTCTCCCGTAGAAGAAGAAGCACTACTGAGAATCACCCGACGACGACGACGTCGGGGTGACCGCTATAAAGACTACGCACTTCTCCTCGATGTCCTTCGCCTTGTCGCGCACGTCGTGCGCACTGTGCTCCTCGTCGAAGTACAATTTCTTCGTTTTGTCCACGTCCTGCACGCAGGTCTGCAGCTCCTTTTGTACTATCAGTAATTGGTCGATTGCCTGGAAATCGGATGATCGCGAATATTCAGCGACTTGATCGCGCGCATCGCTAAAAAACATCTCCGAGCTTTTTCTCGACATTATGCATTGTCTTTTTTATTTTCGGAATAGCGGGTACCTTCTTGGAGATCTGCATCTTGTGCATCTTGAGGCTCTTGGCGTCGTCGGCGATCTGCTGCTGGAAGACCTCGACAGCGGCGAGGTGAGCGCGTGCCAGTTTCTCGTTTTCCTCGAGCACCGTTCGCCACACGTTCCACATGTTCCTGCAACCGTTTCGCCATTCTTGTCGGCGATGCTTGGCAAACTTCCTCGATCGATGGCGAGCCATTGAAACCGGGTACGATTGCTTTGTGAGTCGAGACCGAACCTTACGAAAGCAGCGCCGCAAAGTTTATCTTAGCGCGCGGAACCGACCTTGCGACGATTCAACTCCGCGATATCGTTCCGTTCGATCTGCGACGCGCTTCTTTACACCGGTCTCAACGCTCGTCGAACGTCCCCCTCCCTCCCGTTTCCCCCGGTAAGCAAGAAATAGCAATCTTTTGAAACATTGATTTCACACGGATTTTACAGACGCATCTTTGCAATTTGTAAGCGTTTTTAAACTGTCACTGGATGATATAATATTTCTAAATATTAATTATATTAGTTATAGAGCGTAGAAATTTTCTTTTTAACGTTTGGGTCAAATATTTTATTAACAATGACGCTGTATGCAACATTAGGTCTGTTCTGAAAGAAAAAGGGAAATGGAAGTAGTACAATTAGTACAAATTAGTGCAGCCAGTTCAACTGTAAGGGACAGGTTTAAAATGAACTACATATTTGAGAGCGTTACGAAATATTATAACAATATTGTGTTAACGATTTCTTGCTTACTAGGTCATCTCGATACTTTGTGTATTCTTATGTACATAATGTATGTTGTAATTACCATTTCTCTTCGGCTCCATCGACTTTAAGATCCGGGATGTTGGGTATCTTTTTGTTCAAATACGCGGACGATATTTTGAGCAGCGCCTGAAAAGCGACATCATCGCGTCATCGATTATCGATAATTTCTAATAATTAAAACAATTACGAGCTAGAAATCTTTATAATGTATGTTGCACTGAGCTAATTATGAAAGAAAAAAAAATAGGGGTGTGTTAATTATTTATATACGAATTATATATAATTATTTCATCACGTTATTATATAAACATCGATATTAAAAGAGCGTTAATTATAAATAATTGCCACTACTATCGAGTGAGAGGGGAACTGCTTACCTCGGAATATGATTTCTCAATAGCGGACTTTTTTATTGTGAAATTGCTGAAAAGAAAACGGAAACGTCCGTTTATTTACATTACTCTCTCCCTCTCTCATTCATTTCTTCTCTATCCTTATCACAGTATTGAATAATTTTTTTGACAGAGGAGAGGAATAATAATGCGGGTCAATTAATGCAACGGAACTTTTCGATTCAATGAAACAAAGGACACTACCCTGCACTGCGTTTCGGAATACGTGGTTTTCGATTCCGGATACAAAGCAAGAGCGTCAACGCAACGTAATTTCCAGGTCTCGCGTATATGTTGATGGGTTACACACTCGATACGTCGCTCCGTTCAGTCGGGTCGAAAATTTGGCCAATTTTCGCCCGCTCGTATCATTCTCTCTCGTATATTTCCCCTCTCGCACATATCGCGAGCTCGTATCACTCCGCGTCCGTAAGGTTATTATATTCCAGTTATCGAGTAAATATAATTCCTAAGCCTTAAGGGCAATTTTTTCGTGTGGCACGGCGAAAATGGCTCTCAAATCGTAAAAGTGATCTCCTTTTGCTCATAGCGCGCAAAAAAAGCGATCTTTAAGCTGTGAGGACGATTTATTAAATCCAGCCACTACGGCGCGAAGTTTCTCCGGCTCTGGAGAGAACGTAGACGCGAGAATTAATTATCGATACCGCGAAATCAATTTCTGAAAGTCTCATTAGGTCGAGCTGCGCTCTCGAAGTTCGTGCAATGGTTACGTATCGGTGAAATATCACCGTAGCTGGGATTAATGTGTAATTGTCTTTCAATAAGTAAAACTCACCGTATGTCCTCCAGAAGGTCGCATTCGTGCTGGTTTTTCGCCTGCAACTTTGCCGCTTGCTCTGCATGCACATTCTTTAGGAATTTCGCGTAGTTCCCCTTGCGATCGCGTACACACAAAAACGAATAAATTAAATCAACGATATATATATATATATATATATACATATGTGTGTGTATATAATTACGATTCGAGTAATTTTCAAAAAAATTAGTTTCCCGTGAAAATAGTCCTTACATTTGCAACGACGATGACGGACATACATGACATGATTCTTTCACTTTTTTTTTAACAGTTTGCACTCCGACGGCGTGAAATTGGTCCTCAAGTCGTAAGGACGATTTTCGCGTGCGAGTGGTACGGGAGACTGAACTCTACGGGATTTTCCACCCTCGGGGCTATTCGGGACTGCTTACTTTTCTCGGTGGAGGTTGCATGCTGAGGCGACCAGAGTCTGTGTGTTTTTCTTTTTCTCGCTCCCGCAACGCCGGCCGGGGTGGAGGAGGTGCAGGCAGGCAGGCGAGCAGGCAGGTAGAGGCAGGCAGGCAGGAGGAGGAGAAGGGGTTCACTATCTCGCCCTCTCTCTATTTACGCGCGCTGCACACCCCGCACACACACACACACACGCGCAACACCTCACCACTCGCGAACCCGATTACTACTGATCGCTCGCCCGCCCGCGACGCGACTGAGCGGCGGCGCGAAGCGCCTATTGATCGGCACCGGCCGGCCGGCCGGAGCGCGCGCATGCGGTTGCACCACGTCGTATTGTGCGCGGGCGTTCAATTCACCCCCACCGACATGCCCGAACTACTTCCTTCTCGATGACCTACTAAACGGCTGATCAAGACGTGACATGGCGGTGGAAGAGGGGGAGAGTCGATGATTTTGCTTATTGATTTGCCTGCTTTCGATTCCTCCTTTTCTCCTTAATCCTGGATCTAGGAGCACGTGCATGCATCTAGCTAACGCACCCCCTCGAGATCCTTCTTCAAGGCTTTTTTAGAAATTTTACTTTATACGCACGTGTGTGTGTGTGTGTAATGTTGATAAATAAAGGATAAAACGCAGTGTCAATATGCTTTGCGCGGACGAAGGGAGAATCGCTCGTCGATGTTTATTGCGAAATCGTATTCAACTTTATTTATCAATTTATCGGTTTATCGTTAATTTAATTCATTATTAAACGGTATAAAACGTGAAAGCGGTATAGATATAATAATAATAATAATAATAATAATAATAATAATAATAATAATACATTAATCGAAGAGAGTCTTAGGTCTAAACACGCTTATATACAAGACTGCAAAACACTGCAAGGGCGTCGGTGGGGAGGCAGGACTCGCAGGGGAAGGGGGAGGGAGGAGAGTCAGCCTGTATTTTCACGAATTAACACGACGATGAATTGCCACTTAAAAAAGAGGCTATCACAAGAGACGCCACACGCGGAGACAGCCTCTTTTAATCTCAACAAGTCTTTTCTTCGTTTCAAACAGATCTAGGAGACCCCGCGGTGCCGGGGGGAGGGGGTTCCAAGCTGGCCGAAAGAGATTTGTCTCCGTCTTAGGGTCAATGGAAAAAGCAGAGAGAAGTTGAAATCGGTAAAATTCTACCGTGGGGTTAAACGAAAGTTTCTTTCCCTTTCTTCGCATTTCGAATGGTCCGCTTTCCTTCGGCTTTAGGGTGTCCTAGACCTCGACGTAAGGCCCCGACTAGTCGTAAGACGATTACTGAAGCTCGTCGGCCGGCAACGGGTCCAAATCAGGATCGGCCACCGGGGGTCCGTCGACGTACGCCAAAGGCGGAGGCGGTTCGGCGGCGCGGCTGGGGGGCAGCGCGCCCGCCTCGAGCAACGTCAGCGCCGGGTCCAGGGCGGGATCGGCGGTCGCTTCGGCCAGATTCGTCACCGACTTGGACTTGACGCACTGGAAATCCACGTGGCGGCTCTTCGCCTCCTCCTTCTCCCAGGACATGTGGATGAAGGGCCGTTGCACGTAGTTGTAGATTACTTCGGCGCGTCCGCCGGCGCGCTTCTTCACCTTCTCCTTGTAGGTCGGGTAGCCCTCGATGCCTAGCCGGATTTTCTTCAACCCTCGCTCCTTCATCACCTGCTTCGCCACGTCCCGGTTCTCGATGTACTTGAAGAAGCGATACATCGCCGTGCTGTTGACGGCTGCGGAAATATAGAAAGAGGAAATCAGAGGACGTCATTTTGCATGCTCGCGCGTACACACAAAGATCGCTCGACGATTTATCAGCCGCTTTTCTGCCCGGGTGTTCGCCGAAGGAGGAGAAACGACGGAAGATTGTAAAAGTCGATGGAAGTTTCCAAGTTACCAGGGTTTAGCGGTCGCATCGAGTAAATAATCGCGGCGTCGTATTAATATCAGCGAAGCAGCTTATGGTCATCCATTATTGAAGAAAACAAGCGGAACTAATGGATCCGCCGTGCACTTGCAAAGGCCGAGCTAATTGATTTTTCATCGGGTATATACATAGAGAGAGAGAGAGAGAGAGAGAGAGAGACGCGCTGCTCACGATGATGCGGCAAGGTTGCGCGTCTTACGACGAAAAAAAGTAGCGCGTCCTCTCTCACTTGAAGGTCAGTTCCACTTATAGCGGATTCCGCAGGTCGCCCCGAAAAAATCGGACAAGCGCAAAAGAGGCTCTTTCCGAGGATGCCCGCGACACGTGGTGAGCTTCGACTTTAGCCAATGAGCGATTCTTTACTCACTTTGCGAGTATTCCTCGCCCATCTGGGGTGGATACTCCTCGTCCCAGTCGACCACGTCGTCCTCGAGCAAAACGACGATGTGACACTCGCGGTCACCGCGTCGCGCGCTGTTCACCATCAGCGGCAGGATCAGGTCCTCGAGGAACACCTCGAACTGGCAGCGCGCGCCCTCGTTCGACAGCTCGTGCAACAAGCCACCTGCGTGTAAAGGTGAATCCGTCAGCCAGACCCTCTCCTCGCGAGAGAGGAGTCGCCGACCTTACGACACTCACGCAGATTCTGGCATTTCACTGTGCTGGCATCGAACGGCACCAGAAGATAATCGCACGCCTCCCGCAGCTCCTGCACGCTCACAGTAGGCGGGCAACGAATCACGTTGCCCTTGTAGTACTCCAGGATGGCGCGGAACACCATGGCGGAGATGCCGTCCGCGACCTCGTACTCGCCGCGCTCGTTCGGCTGCGCATACTCCACCCCGGAACTGAACATGCGGCCCAGCATGGTGTTGGGGTGGGCGGTGAAGAGCGCCGGGTCGATGACGAACCTGAGACGAACGGATAGGGAAGTCAGACACTTCGGATTTTAATAACTACAAGTTGATAATCCGCAAGGATGGATAGACTCGCCTGGTGTTGTCGACGATCAGGGTGATCCTCTCGTCGCTGGTCGGCGGATTGCTGGCTCCTCCTCCGCTGATGGCGGACCCCGTTGGACCCGCCGCCACGTTGTCCCTGTTGCTGCTGCTGCTGCTTTGGCTCTGCTGCTGGTTCTTTGCCATACCAACGTTGGACCGGATTCTGCGGGGCAAGCGACTTGCTTGAGAACGCCGATCTCTCTCTCTCTCTCTCTCTCATCTACAGCAACGCGCTACTCTCTCGATTGAAAACCTCTCGACTGGCGAACGAAACTGAGGGGTTTGCGGGACCTACCTTGCAATTTGCGAAGCCCGGTCACTCGAGTTCAAGATATCGTGCGAACGGGATATTAATCTTATAATAAAGAATGATTCTTTAAGGGGATGAGTAAAGAGAATACATTAAACATTGAATAATGATGATCTCTTGTTCTCGGAGTGCGTGAGATGTGCAACACAAATTACAAAACGGAATTAAACAGATGAGGCCAATACAAACATGTGTGTGTGTGTGTGTGTTGAAGCATGGGTTAAATTGAAAGAGCTGAAGTTGAGAATCGACACGACGCAAAATGAAAATATCAATATCGAAAGAGAGAGACTTCCGACGTGATGAATAGAGTTTTTCTTACCTGCCGAGGCTCGCGTCCTGCGAATGATTTCTGTTGAGCGAACCAAACGAATGGCAGTGCTGCCGATCACTGCTGCCGTCCCTCTGTACCAGACAAGATTTCGGCTTCGCGGAGCCACCGACACAACTACACATGCACAGAACAACCAACCACGTAATCTCGCTTACAATCTAATCGCATTCACTACATCGACAAGCATGTCGAACGCTGCGTGACGTCTACTATATACGCTACCGCTACGCTATGATTAAAGTTTCAAGAAACTCGCAAAAATAATCAACCCCTCTCCACCGTTCTATCTTTTATCCATCTGAGAAGAAACCGAGGGACTTCTGAGAAGTCTCTTGCGCGAGTGGGATCGTTGCAAAGTCTAAAACACATCCTTTCCTTCGCCCCCGAAACTTTCCTGAAAGTTTCCTTATTCACGCGGAAAGATCTCAAGAGACTGTTCGTGTCATGCAAAAAACTTCTCGGACATGAGACTCAACTTTCTCGAAAGGAAACCCTCTCTCTGGATGAATACTATCGTCTATTTCTATAAACTCCGAAGAGTACGTGGAGGAACTTTTGCGCAGTTCGGAGGTTTCTCCGCTAATTTCTAGAAACTCTACGGAAGAGAATGGACAGAAGACTTTTCGAAATCTCACCTCAGTCTATTCTTAATCACATGGTGTCTTCCTCTCCCGTCAGTCTCCTTGTAGTCGTTTTCAGTGTCGCTGCTGCTGTCGTGAACATACTTGAGACGTTCCGACGACGGATTCGTCATGTTGCTGTACCACCTAAAAAAAGCAACGTAGCGTTTACCTCCCATTCCTCTGACAGAATCGCGTGAAACGAGGAAGGAGAGACTAGTTGCGAACGGCGAAGCGAAGGTGCAAAAGGTGCAGTTGAAAAGAAGAACGGAAGCACAAGGCGTGCGTGTACCTAATACACCTGACACATCCTGTCCGACAATGTCAAAGCATTCTTCTCGCGTGGCATATTTCCCGCAGGATCAATATCGTGCGACGTCGACGGCGATTGGTGCGAAAGACCAACGGAAAATATGCGAGACTTACGCGGCTGACAGTCGCAACAGCTTCCGGAAAAGCTTCCTGGCGGACTCGCAGATCTCCAGGTTAGCCTCGAGTACAGCTCGAATCGTCTGCTCGACGACAAATCGCGACGTGACCAGTCGCGTCGGACCGGCCCAGCTTGCCATTCTCGCGTCCAGGTGGCGCAACGTTCAATTTCAAAAATTCGTTCTTTCTGCACTTACTGTACTTGATTTTTGTTGGGCGAACCTAGGAATTCTCTATCCAACAGCCAATTGGCGCTTCCGATAACTTCGCGCTTCTCTTTGGACGCTCGAGCACTGTAAACATCACATTCGACTGTGATTGATCAATTTCTTAAGGCGTAAAATACCTATTATGGATCGTCACTAATAAGGAGTAAAGTCTACAATGCGTTCGCAGGAGAATCGTAGACAGGATACACTTGAAGCTGCAAACAGTTTGGAGCACTGGAAGGAAGTTAATAATTTTGATGTCTATACGCTTCGAAGCATTTGCAGCTTGAAGTAGACCCTATCTACGACCCTCTCCTGCGATCGCACTGTAGACTAGGCTTAAAGATGAACGCTTGTAACGAAAGAGAACGCAGCCTCTCTTTTTGTCTTGTAATTAATGAAATATTCTAGTTTTTCGCGTGAAAAGTATCATAATTGCAAGTAGATTGCCCTGCTGTGATCGGTGATTGTAATAATTTACAAATGATTTAATCACATCTTTAACTGAAATGAGAATTAATTGAAATGAGGAAAAGATACTTCATAAAGAGTTATACAAAAGAATTGTACACAAAATTATGACGAGAACATAGATTTATCTTATCACAAGTAACGTGTTTTCAAAATATTTACATCATATATTTTATAAGTTAAACTCATAAGTGATATTCATATATATAACATAAGCTATACAGATACATATATTTTTTATATGACTTTTGTATTATAGGTTTCTAGTTAAAAATGTTATGTATCTACGATGGTTACAATCAATTCTGGAAAATTTGTTGGATTTGCCTTTACCAGAACACGCATATATTTGCAGCATACATTTTGATCACAACTCACATCAACTACCTATATCAACATTGAAGAATATATTACGTAAAGATGCATGTCCTACTATTTTTACTATAAAAGAATTAAGCAAAGATAACTTAGGTTTCTAATTTTCCAAGTAAAACGTTTAGTTTTGGATAGAAACACAATAATAGTAGGTTTAGAACTTGTATTCTAAAGTACTCAACATAGGAGATAAAAGTGATATTATAATGTTCTAAATGCTATATACAGGATGAACCACACAACATGATCAACTTAGTTTATACTATTGTTAGTTAGGACTGCTTGAAATTTTTTTTGTCTAGTATAACATGAAATACGACTTAAGATCATCTTAAAACTCACTTTGAACCATGTTATACTAGACAAAAAAATTTTCAAGCGATCCATTAATAACAGAATAAATTAAACTAATCACATTGCATGGTTTACCCTGTATAAATAATAATGTAATATAATAATTTTCTTAACATTTATGATAGCATTTACTTTATTGTAGACTGACAACATCTCAGCAAATGATGGATGCTCAAGTTCCTGCCAAAGGCAAATCATCAGATATATCATCATCGGAAATATATGATTCACATTCTTATCAAATGACAATTGTTAAAGAAGAAATACAGCTAAGTAAAGAATCAGATAATAATTTATTTACTACGAGTTTCTTCAGAAAATGTGTTACTGTTATGAATTAACATTTATGATCTATATAATTATATATATATATATATTACAACTCAAGTATATTACTTATTTTATAATATTGCATTTAAGAATATTTATGTAAATTATATCTTATTAGTAGATTCTCCTTTTTCTCTGAATGATGATACATGTCAGGCCACAGAGCAAACTGAGAAGGAATCCCTTGATTTTCCACAAGAAAAAATAGGGGTGGGTAAGTTAATTTTTTTAACTAAGTTAAGCTTAAAGTTAATTGTCTTAAATTAACTTAGTTTACGTTAAAAGTTACACAAACAAAAATTAACCGAATTAAAACATCAAGTTAAAAAGAAAAATTATTCTCTAAAAATAAATGAAAGCAAATATCTTGTTTTAAAGGTCGATTTGACTGGCCACATGAGGCAGTTTGGACACTTCTCGATGCATATAAAAAGCTAAAACATCTATTAAGGAACAAAAAAAAGGCGAAATTTTGGACTATTGTAGCCTCTCACTTGCTCAAAAAGGGTTACGATATCACAGCGTTTCGGTGCAAAAAGAAAATAACAAAATTAAAAAATACTTACGAAAATATAAAAAAACGCAGTGCACAGAATGGTAACAGCAATCAAACATGGAAATATTTTGAAGTAAGTGTCAAAATGAATCTATGTAATATATATTTGCATTTTTTTTTTTACTGAAGCATGTGTTGTATATATTATTATGTAACATGTTTCTTTTTTCACGTGGCAAATTAATATTTCTTCTGATGTTTCTTCTGATAGATTATGGATGAACTATTTAAAAAGGAATCATACATAATACCAGTTGTTACTTTGGACAGTAGCAATCCAAATATATCTTTTCCTGAATATAACGTCGATAGTGATAAAAGTTTTGATCCATACAAAACTGAGCCACCGGTCAAGCGTAAGTATCATAGTTAGGATAATGCCTTTAATATAATGCAGTATGATAATGTTCTTATTACATTTGTAAGTATAAAATAGAAGCATTATAGCATTATCAAGAGAGAAAGTCATGGTTCTGTATTATCATATAAATTGCAATTACAGGCTTGAAACAGATCGGAAGAGACAATTGGAAGAGTATAGAGAAAATAATTGCTATCATGGAGAAAAAAGCCATTTTACGTAAGAAGATGCATGAGGAATCGATGGCTCGTCAAGATAAATTACTCGAGATCTTAGAGAAAACTGAGGAACTATTTACTAAACGTAAACGTAAATATCAAATATATCATGGTCTTCAAGGGAGGAGAATCAGGATTGTGTATTACAATATGTAACATGCAATTGATACAGGCTTTAAAAGGATCTAAAGAAAATAATTTTTGAGGAACATTTTTGCAAAAGATCATTCTTGTTGTAGGAAAGAAATCCAACGAGTGCACAAAGACACACAAAACTATAGCTGATCGGGATGAATCACTTAACATTGAAGAGGAGATATTGGGAAAGTGACTGATTCATGTGATATGTGTATGGACACGGATACATAATTTTACGCAATTTTGTATATAATTATACCTAATATCTCCCAAGTAATTTTATAATATATATAAATTTTTACATACGTTGAACTACTAGCTGTCGTCACAAGACGACCGTATGCTATCGTGCTGGGAACAATAAGCCGGCGCAGCGAGTGCGAAGTGATCGAAGAACTGGGAATAATCACATGTTGACAACGGCTAGTATTCATAGTTAGATTTTAAGACCGTTTCAATCTTTTACGGATGCGTATCTGCGACAGCAGCCAAAACACGTGTGTGGACGTGTGTGTTTGCGCGTGGATTTGGTTTTGGACATGCGTCTGTAATCTACTACATACAGCAAAGTCTAAGCCAATAGGATTTGACTTGACATTATATTGGAAACTAACCACGTAAATTCTATAAGCTTACGTTCACCATCTGTTGATATAATACGAGGACTCTGTTGCGACAATAAAAATCTTTATTTTCCTTATCAATTATCAATTACTCAGTTCCTTTGATAAATCTGTTTATATTTTGCCGCCACGCTTGCGCATTAACGTATCATTGAATACTTCTCCTGTGGAGGTTAGAAGGGATAGCCCGGGAAGAATCTAGGCATGTGCCCACTGAGTACTCGGCACAGAGAATAAGAAAGACTCTTTTATTACGTAGAGAAACACTAGAACGATGCAGCTCTTACGTCGGGCTAGTCTCCACTCTTCTACTGCCGTACAGCGACAAAAGACTAGCCGTGCAGTGACAAAAGACTAGCTCGCCGGCGTGTGGTGGGGGGCGAGCTCGCATGCAAGCGAGATAGAGTATAGCCGCCACACTCCCACTCTTTCCTCTACAGCCAGGAACCTTCCATCTTCTATTCTTCAGTGTTGGTTTCATTCCCGCTTGTATAATCCTTTTCTATGTACAGGTTAAAAAAACACAGAAAATAAAAGGGGATTATCGTTATTGCTATTAAAATTTGTTGGCAAAATGAATATAATTTGGAATAACTATAAGTTGCAGCATCCACCGTATTTAACTTGGCGTGCCAACAGAAATGCATTTAGTAAAAATTAACAAATATGTATAACACGTTTAAGTGTATGTGCATCAAATTAAATATATTAATAATTATTTATTTTCGCCTTTATATAGATATTAAGAAGTTTCTGGCCGCGATTAATAAGGCAATCAGAGAGCTGGAATCAATGGATACTTTTGATCTGGAAGCAGCATTTTTAAGCCGGTTGATTTATCGTATGAAGAACAAGTTCCGGAATGATAAAGGCTTAAAAAGCATGGAGAAAGTAAACAGAGCCCTAATTAATTATCTGAACATGGCTCTGATTGAGAATTATAAAGATTTGAAGTCTTACATTCAAGTAGAGGATAAAGCGCTCACTTTACCAAGCAGACAATTGCTGGAATACGTGCTTGTGAGAACGCAAGGCTTTGCAAAACTTGTAGAAAGAATAGAACTGGTCGCAAGACACTCTGCACATTTTCTCAAAACTAGGATCGCATTGGGTCATGCATGGAGTATCTCTTTAGTTGCTTATGCCAATGTTAGCAGGATTTGGTAAGGTTACTGTAAATCAATTATATTACAAATTTCTTTCTATTCTGATAATACAGCGTCCCATCTCTTCACAGGTTCTTGTCTCGGCAGCTAATCAGACGATGCTGTGTGTGGTATAAGGAATTGTATCAATATGTATCTGCCTTTCAATATGTTGGTTTACCTTGGATCCCACAGAATCAATCTTTGCCGCAGGATTTAGAACAATGGCTTTCTATAGAGTGGATGCACGATGAAAATATAGAGTACGACTGCAATTATCTAATATTCCAATCGATATGTGCATTCTAAAAATATTATATTTTAGCAGAATTGGAAAGGAACCCTTCACTTGTAATGTCATTAGTGTTACAAATTTCTTTCTTTAGAACTTAACGACTTATATTTTTTTTATTAATAATTTTACAGTAATTATATTTTTGGGCTAATGTTAACGAATATAATCGTTATTTTACCATTGCTTTGCACATATAGATAAAATACATGTGCGCGGAAGCGAATCCTATAAAAAAATCTTTGAAAGATGTAAAATAACTAAGGAAATTGTAACAATTTCGTGTGACTTTTTGAGTAACAATAACATTAACGAATCATTTCTTTCAACTGGTAACGAGTTACATTAAAGAAAATAACTTTCCCAACTATTTCTTTTAGCGCCTGTCGCAATGATACCTGGGATGATGTGATACTCAAACTATTCAAGGAGCATCCAGCTGACTGTACTGATGAAATAATCACTATTCCTGTATCAGATGTGACAGAAAATAAACCTGCGTCACACGCTGATGATATTGGAGGTAGGTTACTGATTACGGATATTATAAAATTTAACATTATTAGACACACGTACGCACGGATTGTCCTGTTTCTACTATGATTGTGCGATGTAAAAGAGATACATAAAATCAAATTAAATTTCTATCAAACCTGAATATTTCGGTGCTCCAAGCAGAAAGGAAGGATCATGTCCTGTAGTAAAAACAAACATTTTATTCGTGATAGATCAAACATAACCGAAGTAAATACACAGAAATAAATGCTATGTTCATAATTGCTTATGGCTGGTAATGTACATTCGAAAGTGGCAACTAAAAGTTACATGACGTATAAAATATATACTGATATCATCCGCACGATATAACTCACGTCTCACGTGTAAATTGCAATTAACGACAAAACTCTTGTATAGAACCTTAAAATTATGACAAAACTTAGGCCAAATAACGTGAATCATGTGAACCCTATGTTCGTTACGCCATAAATTAGTTATTCCAAACAATTCTTTATTCTCTTTGTAACTTGCTTTCAGATTTTATTCAAGTTAGATTTCACCTATTCGTTCCATGGACTATAATGTTGACTATTTGATGTGCATTACTTAATTTTTGTCTTACAGAAGTGATAAGTCGAGAGGCTTTCGAAGCAAATCTGCCGAAGATACATAACGTTAAAACTTCCTCGATAAAGAAATGCAAACGTAGCCACATCAGTGACGATGTAAGATCGACGAAACAACTAAAAAGGAAGAAAAAGAAGAAAGGAACAAAATGAATTTAAAACTTGATTTTAAATTCATTGAAGACAACGCAGTAATATATACGCATTCTTATTAGATGATGACACCGATGTAAGATCGGGCGTTAGAGGCGGAGAGAGAAAGAGAGAAAAAGAGAGAGAGAGAGAGGCAGACTTTTCTGTCGTAATCAAAGAATCGTAGCCGAATATGTGCTGCTACGTAACACCTTTAATTTCACTCAAGCAGCGCCGACAAGCGAATCATTACGGAAGGCCGAGGGAGAAACAGAGGGGGAACATCGGAATATCTCTAATCGAACGGTGCGAAGTAAAATAAGCATTGAGCGGTTTCTGCCGAGGGATGGTTTCGTCCACTTGAATAGATGTGCGTAGGTGATTAAGCGTCATAGGCCGGTATCGCGTATCTTCGTGGTCTCATCCAGAACTTCAGACCGAAGTCGGAGGAATCTCTCTTCCGCATATTGTTGAAGCAACAGGCGCGGAACTGCCGTGTTCCGCAGATGTCGGCGCATTCTCGCCCGCACTGGTCGCAAGAGACCGTCTCGCCGAAAGACCACAGCGCGCACACTGCAAGGATGAATGAAATTCATTTTTCAAGACTGCAGCCGAGCCATTCCTACGTGTGAAATAAAAGCAGGCGTGATAATAAGTATAATTTTTTTTTAACGAATAGAAATTGGAGGTTGAATTAAGTCTGCGAGCAAACATTGAACTGCTTAATTGTACATTTCCAATTAATTAACAATAATTTAATAACAATGTTATACTATTCAATATTATATAATATTATATAATTCCAATTGATTAAAAATAATTTTATAACAATAATTTCGTTAAAAGGCTACCGACAAAGATATTTAGAAATAATCTGTGAGAGGATTCAATATTTCACACACGCGCGTGTAATTAAGCGATAATCGAAATCTGCTTGCTTTTAATAATATGTAGAATGCCGGAAGCGTCTAGCATGATGTTAACTGATTATTATAATAGTACACAATGACATATAAGAGTTCGTTGTCACGTATGGAGATATTATATATTATTGAAAGCAAAAGCAGCGAAAGCGATAACGTAATTAAGGAAACGGAAGAGCAATCAAAAGGCACGATTATAGACGAGATCGAGATTGGAATAATTATTTATGATGCGCGTGGGCAGGCGTGAGAAAGTTTAGGAAATAAAACGCGAAAAAAGAAGTTTCATACAAGCCTCCCCTCTCTTCTTCCCCTCCACAACGCGTTGCATTTATGGATGTGACGGCGGAGCCTCGATGTTTAGTAATGAATGTCAATCAAGTAATTACAAGTTACCTCGTTCATATTACGCCGCCCAATGCATATCTTTATAGAAGTTTCATCAACTTTTAGAATTTTCATCTCCTGGGCCGTCATTACACATCCGATAACTTTGGCAGATAATCTTTTAATTTAACACTATCGCATTATAAATGAGAAAAACATCGGCATTAAATTAATCCGTTAAAGGTCGTGACTGTAATACAGAAGATTTAATTACTATTCTTAAATATTTATCGCGGAAAAACAAATAAATTAAAAAATTGTATATAAATTTTTTTATGGAAAGCTTGAAGAAATTTCGTTAAAATCCTAATAAAATTTTTGTATTGAAAATGTGGCAAGTTAAGTAGTAATTGATATGATTAATTTTATAAATAACTAATTTTAATAATTAATTAATTAGTATTATAAATTTAATTATTATAAACAATTAAATTTAATAATTTGTAAATATAATTGTAATCTCAAAATTATTTTTCATACTTCGCGTTCTTATTTACAAGTCGTTGATAAAGGCCACAATTTTCGTCTTACTTTCTCAGCGATAAGCAATTCTTTTTTATCATTTTTCCTATTATATCCGAAATATTATGAACTGCGGAGGCATTGAACGATTAGAAAGCTATTCTTAGCATAAACTGCAGTCCGCCGTTCACAACAATGAGATCAAACGCGAAATCCGGCGATACTACTTCGTTTGCGCTCACTGATGGTGGGACGGTTGGTCGGATTATCCCGTAAACACGAAAGAAGCTATAGACATCGTGATTATCAACCTCATTTAGCAACCCTTTGAAATGTCAGCAATTCGCAATCACTGTACTTTATTGCACGCGATATTATATTGTGTATTAAAGAAGTGTAAACAGTAACGTTTGTTTAATTTCAAGAGAAATACACATGCGTGCTAATGTGTCATTTTAAAAATCATGTTCTAACGTTTTCAGAAAGTAACATCAGGTAAAACGAAGGTTTTTTGAAGCTTTTTAGTAGTTCCCAAGGAGTGCCGTTTGGATGAAATTGACAACGAAATTTATTTTCTTTTTATTTAAGCGTTTCGTTTAAAATTTCACTTAAGAATTTATTTTAAAGTAAAAAAAAAAGGAAAGAAAATTTGTTGGACGAAATAAATAATAATCGACAATTGATGCAGAGGCAAAAATAAAATTAGGAAGAACGGATATATTTACAAATGTGATTTTTAATAAAATTGAGATGCTTACGTTCGTGTAATGCGAAAAATTCGATTACCTGCGAAGAAAAGCAATATCCAGGTGCGATTCATTTTTGTGAAGTGTTCGCAACGGAGGGACGGTGCGGCGACGAGATCGATGATTTCGGTTGCGGATGCTGCATTTTCAACAATAAAAAGCATTAGTAACGATATATCGGAAGTGTGAAGAATTTGGAGAACGGCTGAGTTTCGTAGAGACAGTTTCGCACGAAGAAAGTTTGTGCAAAGTGGAACGGATTTCTATCGATTGCGACTATCCAAAGCGTCGATATCATTCGAACAATGCGGTTGTAGGAAGTAAAACTAAAAATATAATTCTCTGTTCGCGTTGATAATGAAATTTACTTTCGAATGTACGTGTGAAGCGGAGGAATAAGATGTTACGATGTATCACAAGTCGAGACGTCAATTGTCAAGTCGCGAGAGGAAAGTACTCGCCAGCGGTTACTTACCCTCTACAGGTGAGCGCCGAGAAGCGAATGATAATCCTGTGGGGTACCGCTGCTTCTAGATATCATCCCCACCATCCAAGATTACCTCTCTTCCACCCCCGACGCACGCAATCGCCTTATCATTTCAATATATAGCGATATATCAGAATTCGTGCTCGGAGCCACGTTGCAACCGTAGTCAACAAAGTCGGTTTGACAATAGATTGAGGTCACCACACGGCGACCACATCACATACCGACGTACTTTTGGAAAAAAAAAGGTAACAAATATATAATCAGCGCTCAATCAATCTTATCGCTCGAGCCACACGGAATAAAAATAGATTCCAGTCGCATGCTTTTGCGAGAATATTTCTACATGAAGAAAAAGTTACGATTGGAATGAAACGCGAATTAATTGAAATCTCTTGGAAATTCGCGCATTTCGGCGGCATCGAGTACGAGAGGAAGCGACGTAAAGAATATTATTCTTTGCATATTCTAGTGCGCATATCTTATTTACGGAATTGCAAATACCGGCTAGGAGGATTGCGAATTAGTGCGCGAAAGCTCATTGCGCAACGCGAATTGACCGACGGGAAAGAAATAATTCGTCGAAATTAATGAACGGGAAAAATCATGGATTTCGTGGTTTATTATTTAACGCGAATTTGAATCTCGTCGATAATCGATAAGTCATTTCTACCCAGACCGCTACAACTTGAATGTGCTTTATTCTGCCGCAAAATAAATACGAAAAGAAAACATCGTCTTATTAATAGCGTGGATGAATAATAATAATAATAATGACGCACGCAATTTTAGATGATAATAACGTTAATAAAAAGAGAAGTGCTTACTATCCTTTCATCGTCCAGGCGCCGGGAGAATTGATACTTAAACTCTAAAATTAAAATATATTAAATACCTGCCTAATTTTAACCTGTCGGCGCTATTTGTGGCGTAAACTGAACTACTTTAATCCTACGTTAATATCAATCTGAGAATAGTAACGTAAAGGATATCGACAAGCAACTTCGCACGGTGCCTCCCTTGCGAAACATTTGTGCGATAGGCTAGTAATTGCGCTGAAACAAACACGGAGAAGAGACGTTCATTTAATGAAGATATTTCGTCGGCAAAGAAGAAATAGGAAAGACAGTTTTGCCAGGAACTCCGTGAGTCTACGAAAAGTTTTTGCTAAGTCAAAATATAATCACACGCGTGTGTGGTGTGTGTGTAACCCCCTCCCCTATTCCAATCATGTTCGAAAATTATAATAAATTCGTAATTTTGTTTAGCGGAGGTCGCTTATATGTACGACATTGGAACGACTCGAACTGGGGTAGTAGACGATCCGTTCTCGTCGCTTGTACTCCGTCTCGGGGATCGACATCTCGCACTCGACTACTGCGGGATCCAGCGTGTCCTCGACGACCACGTTCAGCGACACCCGAGGGTTACCCTTATACCAGTCCGCTGAAGACTCGTGGTCGTTCCTGCGATCGTTCCTGCTCTCGACTCCTTCGACGTAGAGCTTCAAGGACGGCCGAGGTCGCGCACCAGTCACCACACATGTTAAATTCACGTGAGTCTTGTTAAAGGGGTAAGTGCTCACGGTCATGTCACTTTCCGGCACTGGAAGCAAAGACCGATGATTACAGACACAGAGAAAGTGCCCTCTCTTAATAGAAATTGAATTAATAGAAATTCTCTTAATAATTATTAACAGACTCTCTGAATAATAATTCTTTTAATAATAATTAATAGAAATTGAATTAATAGAAATTCTCTTAATATAAATTCAACTTCGTGTGTGTCCAGTCATGAAATAGTAAATTTGTGTCTAACGTCGCTGCTACTGTTATAAAGTTCCGGAAAAAAACGCTTTCTCCCCCATTTTTCCGGATTCTTTTAGTTCCTTACGGAAAGAAGTAAATGTTTAATTCGATTTTTATAGAATAACGCACTTTTAATTTTGATTGATCACTCTTTTAAATGCTAGTGATGGATACATAATAGTTAGACTATATATTTTAGAGTAAATAGCACTTATTCCATCATATTTGACATGTAATGGCTATGTGCAGGGCAAACTGCGCAACGTGATCAGCTTAGTTTATTATGCTTAGTTTATTCTGCTCTCTAGAAAATTTAATCTCTAGACTGTACTAATTAGCTATTACTTTTTTAGTCAGGCTGACTGGTTACATTTCTACTATTTCTATTAATTTCTATTAATGAAGATATTTCGTCGCCAAAGAAGAAATAGGAAGGACAAGTTTTGCCTTATCTATTTTCCCGAAATAGTCGGTTCCGGAAATAAGTTGGACTCGGGTGGAAGAGAACGGATATTCTCTCGACGTGCAAATATCGATAAAATTTCTCGTAAACTAATAAGAAATGTGTAGAAATCTCATAAACACTTGCCATAGACGATCATTTTCGTCGAGTTGCTCGCCTCGTCCTGGAATGTGCTGATCGCGCACGTGTATTCTCCCGCCATATCAACAGTGATGGTCTTCAGTCGGATTACAGAACGCGAATACGGGTCCCTCAAGTTCTCGACCGGATATTCCGCGAGACCCTTAATGACTCCGATATCCTGCGGTGGTACTAACGGTACAGATGCGTTTATTAAATTCAAATTCCCTATAAGCGCGCGATATTCCTAGAATATTATGTGAATATTCAATTTTCAATATGAAATTTGAATATTTAATATTAAAATAATATTCTTATAATATTCTAAGGATGTTATGTAATATTTTTTAATACTACAAAAATGTTCTTAGAATATAAATTTGAATATTCAATATTAAAATAATATTCTTATATGTGAATATTCAATTTTCAATCTGAAATTTGAATATTCCATATTAAAATAATATTTTTATAATATTTTAAGAATATTATGTAATATTTTGTAGTATTTTTTAATATTACAAGAACGTCCTTAGAATATTAATTTGAATGTTCAATATTAAAATAATATTCTTATATGTGAATATTCAATTTTCAATATGAAATTTGGATATTCAATATTAAAATAATATTCTTATAATATTCTAAGAATGTTATGTAATATTTTTTAATATTACAAGAATGTCTTTAGAATATAAAAAAAAAGAAAATAATAATATCGAAAAATATGTATAAATAAAAAAAAAAAATATATATATATATATATATAATGTTTTAGTATAAAACGTTTTTTTATCCCAAATTGTTGTCTGATCGTTCAATAATTTCTCGGTAAACTATCTTTTCGTGCGTTTGAGTCTAGGGTCCGATTTCTGTGCGTGCGCCTACGGCGTAACGAAGCTGCCGATAAATAAATTCAATAACGCGCGCACAACGCGAGTAACAGACGTGCAAGTTATAATAAGATCGCGTGGGTGGCTGGAGTGTAAATTACTCGGCGGGATCCACTGGTAGATTTGATACGCTTCGTGGAACCATTTGATTACAAGTCCGTTTTCGTAGTCATCAACTTCATAGACGCAGGCGAGATCCACCGGTCCGGTTCCGTTGCGGACGACGAGCGGCACGTCCAACGATTTGATCGAGGAGCCGCGAGCCCCTGCGAAGCACGTTTCAAAAGCTAAATATCCAATCGAAAGCTTAGATCTGTGCGATTTGCGTGATCGAGCTGTTCGGAGAGAAAGAGAGAATCGTTCGAAATCCATCATCGGACTCGGGAGAGATCGAAGCGGTCCCACTTCCAAGTTTCGAGCTGCCCGAAAATCTCGCCGGTAAAGAAGAAAATCAATGTCGAAGACGATCTTTCGACGATTGAAGGTTCGCATCGGCGGACTTGTCGGGCCGAAAAAGTGGCCATTGCGGGGACGACGTCGTGCTCGTCCCCGTCGATTTGACGCTCGCGCGAACTTTCCGGCGCACTTCGACTGCGAACTGTGTCTCTTTCTTTCTCTCTCACGCGGGCGCATTTCCGACAGCAAGCCAACCACTCACCCAAATAACACTCGAGCATTAAGAGAATGATAATCGAGGGCGAAACCGTACGTACTATCGACAACATTCTTTCCAAGGTCCCTTTTCACACTGATGCACAATTAAATACGGCTCGTCTGACTCGTGCGTTATAGCCGATATGATTCTGCGCAGCCTCATGTATCGCCTCCGTGTGTGACAAGACGCCGCACAATGCAGTGACACCGACGTTCCCCCGTGCGAAGTCCGAAGGAAGTTGTCGGGTGAGTCTCAGCGTCACGGGGACGTTTCATCTGCGGCAAAGTAAAGCAAAAACGAGAATCCCTGCGAAGTGACTTATGGTGTAAAGAACGTAGTTTTCCTCCGTAAATCTTTCTCTTTTTCATCCGAAAGAGAGAGAGAGAGCGGATGATGGGAAAATCTATCGGTGCACACTGGGATTTCATTGGAAATGCGTAATCTCGATGAAGTCCCTTTGCTCATTCAAACGCGTGATGCGAGAATGACTTCGGCAGTTAGTTCGCAAAGGTCATTTCTCAGCGGCTCGTTCGACCGTATCTTTTCGAATGTTCTGCTTTCCTGCCGGGAAAACGCATTTTTCATGTATAATTATGTATGTGTGTGTATGTGTATATATATATATATATATATATATATATATATTTGGGAAAAAAAGATCATGTATGAAATCTGCCTTCATATGATTATATATAATCATACATGTCCACACGAAAAAATTGTTTTATAAATTATATGCAAATACAATCGAAATAAATGCTTCTGACAGCACACTATTGACGTTTAATTAAATGATATGACATCATTTTTTCGTATAGGTGTATATGATTATATATGTAACCACATATATGGGCAAAATTCATATATGATTTTACATAATTATATATCATTTTTTTTCCCGGGTAACCATTATAAAATCATATAGAAATAGGTAAGATTGCGTATAATTGTTTAAATGATTATATATAATTTTACAAGATTAAACATAAAATTATATAAATGAAGATTTTTTTACCGGGAAAAACACGCGTCTTCGCGCTCGGCAGAGAGCGGAACGTTGATAAGGCAAGCTTCCTTATTCATTACCGTTCCTATCACTTGTGTTTTTCAGTTAGCATACAATTACCTGTGCAAAATGTCGAATTTTTCATTTGAATCAATGATCGTGTGTCCCGTTTACTGGTGTAGAGGTTATGTGACTATTTAACGGACTCCGAAGATAACCGAAAAACGCCCAATTTAAAGGAGATAATCGACGGTCGGAAATTTGGAAAAAACAACCGAATGGAAACCGTAATTTGCAACTCCTCCACGAGAGGTTTCTGTAATCGACTCTTTGAATTGGTCACGCTGTTGCTACCGAGGGCGTTTTGTCGCACATGCGTGTTGAACATGGTCCCAATGAAGTATTGGATTCGTGAAAAAAGGGTCTTCGGGTTGGACGCATCCAAGGCTGATATTATAGTCATATTATTAAAGACTATATTAAAGACCGTCTTAGGTTCATCTTCAGACGCTTCATAGCCACACAGCGTTTGAAAATGAATTTAAGACCATCTTAAATATAAAATCAAATCATGAAGAGGTCTGAAAGTTGTTTGAATATGACTGCGTTATATGTAAAAATACTATTAGTAAATATATTTGTTAATACCGATTGGTCTATTTACCTGATCTACCAGGTTTGGATCCATCAAAACATTTGCGTCCATGCCCGCGTGCATCGCGTACGTCGCTGGATTGGCTGCCAACGCTGATTGGTCGTTCCTCTTCTAATATTATTTCGGAAGTTTTGAGTTTATCCGCGCGCCGAACAGTGCAGGACGGTCATCTGAACAGAGAGCGGATTGTTTTGCAGCGAGTTTATTATTTTTGCTCCTCGCAGGAGTGTCATTGTCCCTGTTCGAGGTCGTGATACTGCGTTACGAAGTAAATTCCGCTGACTTCCCGGTTCTTTCTTTCTCTCTCTTATCGTCTGCTTGCATAAGTAAGTCGGGTAGGAAAGTCGTATGCCTCGAGAAAGGTAATCTGATATTGAATGCTTGTCTCGCAGAATGAGCTACAGATCGAATAAAAGGCAATACGAGGATCATGGCAGGAGGGAAAGAGACAGGACGTTTCAAAGACACAATGACAGATTCTCCGGAGATTTCGGGAATAATGACTCGAATGCACAAAATTACAATGACAGAGGTCACGATGCAGCAACAACAAGTATGATGATATTCATTCAGCAAAGAAATCTTGGCAAGCTTATCGGACGAGGTGGAAGTCAAATCAGAGCTTTGCAAGAAGAGACCCGCACTAAGATTACTGTGAGTAACAAAGAACAATTCAATGCCCATAATCCAAACAATTAGATGTTTAATTACCAAGTTTATTTCTATTCAGATTGACAGGAACGCAGGCTCCTATGAGCAAGCTTCTGTGACGATACATGGTACAAGGGCAGATCAGCAACAAGCTTGGAATGCAATTAAGGATTTAGTAGGAGGTGGGACTTCCTCACAGAAAGATAATTCTGTGCCGAAAACAGAAGAAGTGATTGACTTTACTAATTTTGACTGGTCCAAGGCTACTAAAGAATGCGTATGTTTCATCTGTAGTCACACAAATGGGAAAGTCCTTTTGTAATATGATAATTTGTCACAGGAAGAATATCAGAAGCAAGTATGGGCTACTCTGCCACCGATCAGAAAGGATTTTTACAAGGAAGATTCGCATGTTACCAATATGTCAAAGAAGTATGTGGCTGATTTAAGGAAGAATAACAATAATATAGAAGTTAAACATGTTTTTGAGAATGAGGAAAACTCAGCCGACGAGATGAAAATACCAAATCCTGTCGAAACTTTTGAACAAGCTTTTAAGGTAACCATGAGAGTCGAAGAATCGTTTACATAGTTGTAGCTTAACATATATATATATATATATATATGCTAATTTTGTGTGCCAGGATTATCCAGATATCTTAGAAGAAATACGAAAGCAAGGATTTCAGAAACCAAGTCCTATACAGTGTCAGGCGTGGCCTATTCTTCTGAGTGGCCGAGATCTCATTGGAATAGCGCAAACTGGGACAGGTTCGGTATTATATTTTTATCTTGTTCGTGTGTACGTTGCATACGTGTCAACGATTATCTTTTCAGGAAAGACTCTTGCCTTCTTGCTGCCAGCTCTCATCCACATTGATGGACAAGCGACTCCGCGAACGGAGCGCACAGGGCCGAATGTCCTCGTTATGGCGCCGACGAGGGAGCTAGCGCTGCAAATTGAAAAGGAAGTAGGAAAGTACTCGTATCACGGCATTAAAGCGTAAGTTTATCTCACGTAAAATAACCTTACGATACTTTATAGTTTCATTAGATACACTTGGAGCATATACAATTTTCGTGATATGTATGTACAAAAAAATGACTTCAGAGTATGTGTGTACGGCGGTGGAAATCGCAAGGAGCAGATTAACGTTGTGACAAGCGGCGTGCAAATAGTGATTGCCACCCCCGGAAGATTGAACGACTTGGTGCAGGCGAAAGTCTTGGACGTGTCGGCCGTAACATACCTTATTCTCGACGAAGCAGATCGTATGCTGGATATGGGTTTCGAGCCGCAAATTCGTAAGACTTTGTTGGACGTACGACCCGACAGGCAAACCGTCATGACGAGGTGTGTTTGCAGGCCTCTTCTTGAAAGGCAAACTTGAAGGGATCATCATTTTCCTTTACTTGAAGTGATGTAATTACTACGATATTTTATCTTGTCATCTACTAGCGCTACGTGGCCTCAAGGTGTGAGACGCTTGGCTCAATCGTACATGAAAAATCCGCTCCAAGTGTTCGTTGGATCGCTCGATTTAGCCGCGGTACATACCGTAACGCAAAGAGTCTATTTGATCGATGAAGAAGAGAAGAAAGATATGGTTGGCGGTTTTACTTCGAAGTTTACTTGAAGAATCCCGCTCGTTTCCGAAGATGTTAAAAAGAAAATATACATTGCAGATGCTTCATTTTTTTCAAGAAATGGGCCCCAACGACAAGGTGATCGTGTTCTTTGGTAAGAAGGCGATGGTCGATCATATCTCGAGCGATTTGGCTCTATCAGGTATCCATTGCCAGAGCATTCACGGCGACAGGGAACAATGTGACAGGGAACAAGCGTTGGAGGACATGAAGACCGGATATGTTCATATTCTTCTCGCAACAGACGTGGCTAGCCGAGGGCTTGACATTGAAGATATCACGTATGTTTCATTAAAGCTCTTGTGTAAAAAAGAAACAAAGCATACTTTTCGACCAGTAATTAAAATGTAACTGATCCGTTTCTACCGAATCACCTGTCACTGGCAGGATTTTTAAGCAAAAAATCTGTAACAAAAATTTTGATATTAGAAAGTATTGCTCTCCAATTTCAGGCATGTACTAAACTACGACTTCCCACGAGACATAGAAGAGTATGTTCATAGAGTCGGACGTACCGGACGTGCGGGTCGTACGGGCGAAAGTATCACTTTCATGACGAGAAAAGACTGGTCTCACGCTAAGGAACTTATGAACATTCTCGAGGAAGCTGATCAAGTCGGTAGATTGCGGGAAACAATCAACTTTTGCGTATCTTCCATCATGAATATATTCGATATTTGTTTTTCCTTCAGGAGGTGCCCGAGGAATTGTATAAAATGGCCGAGAGATACGAAGCCTGGAAGAAAAAAGCGGAATTAGAGGGTAGAGGCAGAGGAGGTTTCAGAGGAGGTCGCAATCGTTACAGAGATGGTTTGTAAAACTTGTCTGATTAATAATGTGATTGATAATATTCAGTTTTAAGTTTGACAGGGAATGTTATCAATAAGGTTACAAGTATTATCGATACAAGTACAACGGAGTACTTTGCAATAAGTACAAAGAATAGGATAATCCTATTTTGTATGTAGAATAGTTCTTACGCGAGATCACGATTTCCTTTTTTTTCTTTATTTCATATTAAACATTTTGATTTAGATTGTACGATCTCAAACGATAGAGCATTTCTTTTTGTATTATTCGCCAAAGTCAAATATACAATTCACTGTAGTTCTAGCATTTTAAGATCATTCCAAAGTAATCATAAGATCAGAGATGCCTCTCGTTTTAAAACGGGAATTGCACAATTGGAACAACGAAATACATTGTAATTCTATACACTGGAAGGCAATTTTAAATTATGCAGCTCTAAATTGCTATAGTTATCAGATATATAATTCTATTTTGCAAAGTTTATAATATACTAGTAACTATGAACTGAAATATAGCTGGAATAGAATTTTATATATATTTCGTTAGAATAGATAAAAGGGATTTATATTAGGTTCACGTTGTGATATTCCGCTTAATTTGCCCACTTGATTCTCATTCAATAAAATGTACGTCAATCGGGTTATTCTCTATACTCATTTGTTTATTAAATAATTTTAATTAATTAACTTTAAATACATATTATTTTGCTTATTGAACGATAACGGGATGTTAAGTGGTTTATTAATATCTCAAAGTCGAGAAATACATTGTCACATATGTATATTTCTGAAGAAATAAAAAGATAAAATAGCATGAATCTCTTCAGTAAATCAAAGACGCCAAAGTGATAATAGATTCATTCCAAAATATCCTATCTTTAAAACCTGTATATTGGAAAAGGCATGTTTATTGTAACATCGTAATAAGTACAAAAATATTTTGTATTATTGCCACACACTCGTGCAAGTGCACTCAGTGTGTGAATGCACAAGTATACACATAAAATTTAAATAAATCAGTACCGTCTAGATATTGAAAATATTTTGTAAAATTGCTCAGAATGATCATGCCTGTTCTAACATATCCAAGTTCACGTTTACCACTGCGTTTATTACTAACATCCAAAAAAGAGTCTGAAATAGCCTGCATTAGCTGTATAAGTTATATAAACATACAAATTAAACTTTTACTTCTTATATCGAAAAAATTGAACGTACACATTGCTCTATTGACAGAAAAATATTTTAAGGTACAAATAATCAATAAATATATTAACCTTGTAATAGTGAAAGAGCTAAAAAAAAAAACTAGAAAAATTCTTGAGAAGGATAAAATATATATAAATATATAGAGAGTGCAGAGTCTGCGATTTAGCTGTAAACCTTGAAGTTCCGAGTCTTCGTGTATTTTTCGGCGAAGATCTTGCCGCTCGGGGATGGTGTTGAGAACGCAATATCGTCCAGCGACATCACGTAACCATAGAAGAATTTCGCCCTGAAACACGCGTGAATAACACATTCATGTTGCAACATTTGCGGATTTCAATCGTCGATCGGCGAAGGGGTGAATCCACGCAAATGTAAAACGTTGCTACACTCACCTCAAAATGTTGACGAGCTTGGTGGCTATTCCTTGCCTGCGGTGACTCATCGCAGTCCACACCACGTTTATTCCGCACTTCGTGGGCGTGCTTTCCGCGGTGCAGCAGTCCAATTCGATCAGCTCGGGAATCATACGATACGCCGTTTTAATGTGTTCCGCTACCAACACTCCGATGACGCTCTTCTCGCGTATGTACAGGAAGACCTGAAGAGGAGAATGCATTTTCTCTCTTTTCTGAATTCAAAGCGAGACAAGCGAATAACAACCGACCTTTTTTGTCTCGTAGCCCGACAACTGCACGTCCGCCAATCCTAGATCGTTGTCCACTACAGTCAGAATCTCCGACACTTTCTTCCAATATTGCTTAGGATCGTGCGGTTCTACCAGGATTATCCTGCTCGACGTGAAGGGATCCTCGTACATGACACGCTCGTTTTTCCATCCCTATTGCAAAGAAGAAAACATTTACGCACCAGCATACATCTTTGGGATTAGAACTCAGATAAGAAAGCTCTCTCACTATTACAAGGTTGATATATTTATTAATTATTTGTACTTTAAAATATTTTTCTATGCACTGGAAGGCAATTTTAAATTATGCAGCAGCTCTAAATTACTATAGTTACCAAATATATAATTCTATTTTGTAAAGTTAATAGTGTATAATATATTAGTAACTATGGACTGAAATATAGCTGGAATAGAATTTTATATATATTTCATTAAAATAGATAAAAGGGATTTATGTTAGGTTCACGTTGTAATATTCAAATCCGCTTAATTTGCCCACTTGATTCTCATTCAATGAAATGTACGTCAATCGAGTTATTCTCTATACTCATTTGTTTAATAAATAATTTTAATTAACTTTAAATACATATTTTTTTTGCTTATTGAATGAGAACAGGATGTTAAATGGTTAATTAATACCTCGTAGTCGAGAAATACATTGTCACATATGTATATTTCTGAAGAAATAAAAAGATAAAATAGCATGAATTTCTTCAGTAAATCAAAGACGCCAAAGTGCTAAATAGATTCATTCCAAAATATCCTATCCTTAAAACCTGTATATTGGAAAAGGCATGTCAATAGAGCAACATGTACGTTTAAACAAAAATATTTTGTATCATTGCCACGCACACATGTAAGTGCACTCAGTGTGTGAACGCACAAGTGGACACATAAAATTGAAATAAATCTGTACCGTCTAGATATTGAACATATTTTATAAAATTGCTCAGAACGATCATGCCTGTTCTAACATATTCAATTTTTTCCTTCGACATTTATGTAACGCACGATAATGAGGTGAGAAAAGCTTACTTGAAATTTTAAGGTCCGTATGCTGTTGTGATAATTCAAGTGGGCGTTCTCGTCCTCCCCGTCGCCCAGCTGGTACACCACGCCGCACTCTGGACACTGAGTGGCCCCAAAACGTTTCTGGCCAGCGTCCAGCTGATACTGATCCTGTCCGCTCTTCATGGACAGCTGCCACTGGGTGTTCCTCTTCGCCGATTTGCCCCCAGCATCCCTGAGAAAAGAGGAAGAAACATAAGCTTCATCGACAGGGAAATCGATTCTCGCAATTTCGCGATGCCTACTTGGCGAGTTGGTCAGCCGGTGCGACGTATCCTTTGGCGAACAACGGGAAGAATTTCCCCTCCTTGTTAGTTCTCACGGGGTCGTTGTTGTTCTCCGTATTGTCCGCGAGGAAGGCGTCCTTGATGTTCATCGTTGAAGTCATGTTGCTGAGCTCGCTCGCTGGCGACATGATCGTGTCTTGCAAGATTGTCGCCGTCGACGGGGAAACGGCATTGGTATTGACGGTTAACGCGTCCATCGTGTCGTAATCGTCGTCCGCCCAGTCGTTCTCGAGTATCTTCAAGATGTTGGCGACCTTGTTCTCGCCCAAGGTGTCTTCGACACCCGGCTCGTCCACGGAGAGGTCGGTGACGTCGTAAGAGACATCCGTGGCTCTTGCTCGTCGCTTGGCCGAGGAGCAACCGTACTTTTGGCTCAGCAGGATTTTACCGTCCTCAACCTTCAGCTTGATCTTCTCGTTTACGGTCACCGTAGCGGCCTGAGTCGGCTTGATGCTCCGGAAGAACCGCTTCTTCTCGTCGACCTCCGGCAGAGGAGGACTTCCTCTCTCCTTGCTCTTCTCCTCCACCACCGGTTGAGCTCGTTTCACAGTTGGACTCGCGTTCTCCTTGTTCTCCTTGTTCTCGTCTGCGGAATTCTGCGCTTGGCCCTCTTTCTTCAACACCTTCGTGTTAACCTTGGATTTCGGTTTCTTGATGCCGTGAAACACACCAGCATTGATCATGCCGAATCTTTGTCTCTTCAACGAGTGTCTGCCGTTTCTATACGCCGGCAAACTTCGCCTCTTCTTAATCTCGTCATCCCTGAAATTGTAGAAGGCAAAAGGCCGCTTGGACTCGCTGCTGCTGCTGTAGAACATTTTCGTGCTCAACGAGATGTTATTCAAGGGCGACTCGTTCTTCTTCTCCTGAAACAACGCCGCGCGCGCTCGGGGCGCCAGAGAGTCGTCCGTCTTGAAGAGCTTCGCCGGAGTCACCGCCAGTTGATCGCGCGCCAGCCTCTTCAACGAGTTCTCCTTCTGCTTAGGAGAGATGTTCTCGCTAGCTTCGAGCATGCCGAGAGACTTCCGTCTGTGCAGCTTCGGCAACAGCACTGATTTCGTTATGGAGCCTAAGGGGGTGATCAGTCCGGGAGTTCCGCTCTTTCGTGGTGTCTCTGTGATGCTCTGGATTTCGGAGAAGCTTTGCTGAGGCGTCTCCGGAATTACTTCCTCGGTGGCAGTCGCGTCCGATCCTTCGGACGTCGATGCTTCCCCAGTCCGTTTGATCGGAGAAGCCGACGCGGATTTAACGAGGTTCTTCATCACCGTGTTACACTTCGGTGAGTATCGAGCTGCTCGGCTGAGCTTCTTCAGCGAGCTGAACAGCGACGCGGAATCTTCCACGCTTCTGTTCGGCATTAAACGATCCCAGGATAAGGATGTGACAGGTAACGACGGGGATTTCTCGGGTGTCGCAAATGGAGAGACGAAATCCCTGCCCGGGGAACTCTCGCAGCTGCTGGGGCTTTGGTCGGTAAGGGCCAGCGGCGACATCGGCCCCAAATCCGAATCTTCCCCCGAAGTCACCTCGGCATTTCTGTTACAACTCGAGCCCCGGGATAAATTCTTCCTGCAAGAACCGCCTTCAGCTGCGAAGAGACATTTTTGGGCGCGCCGTGGAGTACAGAGTAACTCTACCTGACTGCTTCCCGTAGCCATTATTAAACGATTCCTTGAAGTAGTCACCTAAAAACGAAGTTTTTCCTAATTAAATAAGGCAAGCAACACATAAAAATATCGATTTGTCTGTGCGAGGTTCGAATTTAAGTTAACTGTCAAAGAAATACATCGATTTCACAATATTGAACTTTATGGTATCAACAATAAGTACAGTTTCACTCGTCTATCTATTGTTTTTCTATCGGTGTCTCGTGTTTTTCAGCGAGGTGAATATGTGTGCAGTATGTTCTCACAAATTCTTTGGAAATATGCATATTTCGTGCATCTTTGACGATAGAAATCCGATAAAATTGCTTCTTGTGTTTTCTGTCTAGTTATTCACATTAAACGTTATAACATTCATACTTTCAACACGTATATTCGCAAGCAGTATTATAATTTGATCTAATTAAAGAGTTATTCTTTCTATGCTTTATCCAGAGAATATTTAGAAAGTTGTTCCTTTGTCGTGAAAAAGATTGAATATCTCGTAATAACAGTTGGACTAACCTGGATTAAACGACAAGTTCGAACACTTTGAAACGACCTCGCACGTATTCAAAAGTTGCAAAACTTGATGAAACGTTCAACTCACACTCATAATGCGCCGGTTCTCGTCTCTTGAATAAATGATCTCGATATTTCAACACAGGTTCGCGTGAAAAAATGCACGGGAAAAACGCGCGGGAGAAATGTTAGAGAGCGGAGCGCTCGTATTCGCAACGACTCCATCGCGTGCGTCAAAGCGCGCCGAGATTTCGCGCATGCGCCGCCATTGCGCCCTTTGGAATTTATTTCTCTATTTTGTGATTCTCGCTCTCCTTTTCCTCCAATCAAATCCGTTATCAGAGAGAAATCTGAGAGAGGCCACGCGTGGTGTTTCCCTTAATGCCGTTTCACGCGACTGTTTAATGCGCCATCTGCATCAACTTTTACCAGGGAGAAACCTGATAGGCGGAAGTAAACCCAGCACTGAAGGATATAAGATGGACGGTTATTGGCTGCACAGGAATCGTTGATGCGCAGGCGTGGCGGCAAAATTTAAACAGATTTATCTAAGAAACTGAATAATTGATAGTTAATGAGAAAAAATATTTTTATTATCGCGACAGAGTTTTCGTATTATACGAACAGATGGTGAACGTGGGTTTACAATATTTACGTGGTTAGTTTTGAATATAGCGTCAAGCCAAATCGTATCGGCTTAGAACATGCAAGAACAAATGTCACACGTATGCTTTGCAACAAACTGAACAGCGATAAAGACTGACGAGCATCGTCCGCATCGTAATATTTCGCTCAGAATTTTACTAGCCATGTAATTATATTACAACATGCTTTATACATGCTTTCGGCCTACAGGAAACAAAGGCAATTCCTTCCCCACGTGTCTATATGTTCAAAGACTCCAACATCCAGGGAAAGTCCTCCCTTTTCCGATAAAACGGAATTCTAACGGCGCACCCTGTATTTCAAACTACTTTATTTTGCTCATAAACATAACAAACAATACATGAAAAATCTAGATTTTTCCGCATTAATTTTAAATAACATTACATAAATATTATTTTTAACTATTATCAAAATCATTCTCTCACATCGAGATAAATATTATAAACACGAGATAAACACATACGATGCCAGTTCATTAGAATAGCAGCGGGTCAGATTAGTTTAGTAACTGGGTCTTCTTGAAAACGTGAGATTAAAACAGAAAATATGTGCGATCATCATTTGTCCACTTTTGGCTCCGATGCATTGTATTTGCGGTCCTTCATATTAATCACGACGACTGTAATATTATCTGCGGATCCTCTGCAAAATATATATCAGTTGTGATATAAAAATATTGTATATACTGTAAGAATTAATTTGTAAAAAAGTGCTGAACGTGGGATCCCTTGATGACATTGTTGACATATATCGCACAGGTAATGTTCTTGAATAACTAAATAATTTCTAAATAATTTACCATAAGTTTCATATCCTGATAAAAAACGATAGTTACTATAACTTATTTCTGTGACATTGATATGCCCTTTCAAGAAAAATACAAGACTTTTTTTTTTTAATTACTTTTCTCGATAATTTTCTGATAATAATATAATATAATAATGAGCGGTGACCAAACACTTTTAATGTTACTCGGGACACTGACCAAGACAATATATGTTAAGGATTGGAAATAGGTTCGCCTAAATCTAGATAAATACCATAATATTTGAAGTCATTTCCTTACCTGTAAAAACTTTGCAGTGCAATACTTTTTGCGCCAAAATATGGCTCATTTATACGTTCTTTAATGAAAGCTACAGCTTCTTCGTTGGAAAACGTGTCCCACAGTCCATCGGATGCCAATATTATGAACATAGGTTTGTGATCATCCAAATCAAACGTTAGAATATCCGGATCAGCAATCACTAGTTTTTTATCCTTCAAAGGATAATCCCCAAGAGCGCGTGAAGTGGCTAATATACCGGCAACTCTCCACACGCCGTTAAATGTCACCAAACCACCGGCTTTGTTTATTCTCCTCTTTTCTCTTTCCTGTAAAGAGAAAAACAATTACAATATGCGTGTATGTGTGCAGCAAATTTATAAATTTATATAAAATACGCAATATATAAATAATATTAAATTCACTGGACGTACAGGGTGGTTCCACTTAAAGCGTTACAAGTTTTTTCTCTAGGAAAATATTAATGGTAGCAAAAAATTTGACATTTTAATGTTCCTTTACTTTAATGTTTACTTATTCCTAGTAGCACATTTCTCGAACTGCAAATGGTTAATATTATAATAAGCGATACGCAGCATGCTTGTGCATTATAATAACATGAAAGAAATATAAGAAAGAATAAATACTTGTTGAGGTTTGTGATCGAAAGACAAAGGAATAGCATTGCCTTTCCCATCACACATGATTCCTCTGGAATCTCCAACATTTGCTACGATTAGCTTATTATCTTCCAATAGAGCAATCAAAGCAGTTGTGCCTAAAAACGAGAAATTATATATGTGAAAAGAACGTAAATAACATATTAATTATAAATAATATAGATTAGCTTCTTATATTTTCAAATATTGTTTTTTTAAATAACTAGTTAATATATTTTTTACATTTTAGTATGTAGAGTTTCCGCGCACGCAAGGAGAATTCGTAAACAATCAATAATAAATTACTGAGTACATTTTGGAACAAAAGTTCTTACACAAAAATATCGAGATTATAACCTCGAGGATCCGGCCATTTAAGGCAAGATCGGAGGACGATCCTACTCTTCCTTTATTTTACGAGATATTTCATATTTTACATTAAAAAATATCATGGAAAATTTTAAAATATCTCGGGAAATTCTTAACCAAGAGAAGTTTTATTAAAGTGTTTTGAAAACGTCTTAACAAGAGCTATAAGAATGTGCAATAAAAATAGAGGGTCACATTTATTGAATAATAGAGAGCTCGAAAGATAAAAGCTCATCCAGTGATTCTAATTCTCCTCATGTTACCTTTTCTTTTTTCCAACATAATATGCATAATAATATATAATATATGTATAAATATAAATAAATATATATTTAATATATGTATACATATATATATTAAAAGAATAAATACCGGCCACATCCATGTTCTTCTTAGCAGCTTCCACTAATAATTTGTCGACTGTCAGAATTTCATCAGTTAGAAGTTTAGCATAATTTATTTTGTTTCCTTCAATATAGCTTATCATGTCCACTTTGGGCATTTGTTTTGCATCCATTCTGCATGGTCTAGCCTATAAACAGATGAAAATAGCATTGAAATTCATTCATTAAAAGTTTTTTATAGTAATTTCTCTTTTTTTTTATCAACATTTAATGCAACTGGCAAAAGATCGCATTTTTTGTGTGTAACGTTCACTATTTAAAAGTCTTAATTTGATTGATTATTTCACTCATGATTTACCTCTCTTGTAATCGGTGATATGCTCTCCAATTTATCAAGCAGTTCTGGATCAGATAATTTAATAGATTCTTTCATATAATCGTCCGTCAAAGAAGTGCTCACAGTTTTTCGAAAGGATTTTCTCCGCTCCAACGATTTTTCATCTTTTTTATCAATATCCTCTGTTTTTTCTACTTCATTCGGTTTGCCTTGATAATCAGTTTTGCATGCTTTGCCAGCCAACATATTTTTTAATTCAAGAACTTTTTGGCTTATGTTAGGAATAAGTTTATCTCGGGCATAGTTGGCTGCAAACTAAAAACAGAAATAAGCATTAAATTTTTTATATTATTTAATAAAATTTAATATTTAATACCACCAATTGATTTGTCTCATATTATTATATTGTATTATTATATAAATTTGATCAACATTACATTATCATGATAGCTGTCTCTTTCCTCTCTCTCTCTCTCTCTGCTACCTGGATTATTATTTATTAATTCTGCAGTTCATATTTTATCTCACTGGATGATTCGACATAAAAATTATTAACACTAACATTAATAAAAGAACCACCAGTTTGAAAAAATATTACCTCTCCACCATGGCCATCGAACACTGCAAACAAAGAAACTCCAGTGTTGTTCATATCCTCGTTCACTACAAAGCGATCTTCCATCCGAGCTCTGTGCCCTTGCACAGCATATGCTGCAATGTAATCTTGTTTTAACTCCCAACTAAGTTTCACTCCATTATTCACAGAGTCATTAACATAAAATTGCAGCTTAGACACCTACATAAAGAAATATGTCAAACTGTAATTCACGCAATGTACGTGCTCGCTAGGAGCACGTTGCGTCGTTCAAGCTTATCATCTAGCCACTCAATCATATGCTTAGTTAAATTACAGCAATATTTTGACAATTTCGATGTATAAGACTTTAGGCTTTTCTTGGCTTCAGGCTTAATCTTTTTCAAGGATACTTCTTTGTTCATAAATTTTTGCCAATAACTCTTTGATCAATAAAAACCGATAGCTGAGTTCTATTGGAGAGGAAGTTCTTGACAATATATATCAAGAGTTTGTTAAAAGAAAATAACTAAAAGAGGTTTTAGATATATGCTTGTATAAAATTATTAAATATAATCCTTGAGCAATATATATTTAGAGATTATTTATAATATGTTCATATATGGTATATATTCAAAAAATATATTGTAAGAAACATCTTTTGGAAGAAAATTTAGTTTGCTGCAAATAATTTGCCTAATTATTTTTATTTTTACTTGTTTGTACAGATATACATTATCAAATATTAGTCTATTTTAAAAATACATTTATACCTTAGATGTTGTGCGCCCCAGAGTATAATGAATTCCATCCAGGAATGATCTACTCCACACATCCACAACTTGTACGTACAATAGAATAATCAGTAGAACTATACCACCGATTAGCACTTCTGGCCTTAAAGCATAGACTCGTATAATCTTACAGAAGTAACTTAGTGAAGTGTTAAACCAGACACTTGATCCAGTGGGAATAGCTACAGCAAACTTGGATACAAGCTTCATATGTGATACATATGCCTGTGTCGAGATTACAAACAATAACAATTTTTAATCATTCCAAATATAAATAATTTAATTTTCGTAAAATAGATAACTTAGCCTATTAAACATATCTAAAAAAACTCTGAGAACTTGAAAATATAAATAAATTATGAATAAAATTTCTTTATTAAGATTCGGCTATCTCATTAATGTCACATAATGTTGTCATAAATAATTTCTTTTTCGTCACAATGTGTTTCACAGCACACTGGAAGAAAAGGAATGCTACATTCAAGTAATATTCACTTAATCTAAATAAAATAAATGACTACAATACTCCTTAGTAAATATTTACTTGAACATAGCAATTTCTTTTTTTCACTGTACTTTTCACTTTTTGTTAAAAACTTATTTTACATTTTAAAATGAGAGAATCGTGTAATTAAATACAAATACATAAAATATATAAAAATATAATTTGAAATCAATGATGTTAACCTAAAAAAAGTTAGTAGCCTTTATCGTAAAATTAAACCGAAAGTAATAAAAACTTAATTTACTTAAGATTGCTTAATTATACTAATAAATTAAACTTTAATGAAAAAAAATAAAAGTACATAAAATATATTTTAATTTAAAGACGTATCTTAAGACAAAATTTAACAATTTTAAATTCTCTTTATATAATGTATTATTTTTTCACCTGATATAAAATCCTATCTTCAAAATCGTCGTCCATAATATTTTAAGAGGTCGTCAAATTGTCCTTGTGTTAACAATTATCCGCAACGTACTTGTTGGAATTATTTTCTAATCCAGTTGTGAGCAGCTCTTTCCGACTCAGTTGACTTTCGTCATACGTAACCAGAATGAAGCACGAAAACAGTCATGCTCGCGTTATATCTGGAAGAAAGAAGTTTAAGAATAGCTATGCTACAAGAGTTTCTTAATATACTGTTCTTTGATGCGCCCTCTGAAGAAGTAGATGTAAAACACATTCATTCGACGAAGTAATATCCAAAACTTTCAGCCTTCGGTAAATTTTTCTACACTCGATCACAGAACACTTGCAACAGTTTATGTTTCTCATATTTCGGAACACGCAAAAATTATGACGAAACGAACTTATGAATTGACATGAAGTATTTTATTATTACACTTTCCCTTCCTCTTGAGTTTCTTTGATAATAATTTAGCAAACTGTTCTTGGGATTGCTTTTGGAACTCGTCGGGTTTACGCGTATTTAATATGCGAAATTATTCTGTGTTTAAGTTTGCGAGAATCGAACGATTTCGATTGGAATCGATTCCGAAAAGTAGCCAATACCGAGGTACGTAGCGTGACTAAATGATGGGTCATCTACTTTCAAGTAGCGCGACTTGACGACTGATCAGCCGAACTTTAAATTTCCACCATCAGATAGCAGATTGAACAAACCTGAGATAATAATGAAATATAATTGAATTATATAGGAGTGTTAAAGAATTATTGACATGATTATTAATGAAATTTGAAGATATCGAGAAAATAATCAATCTATCAATAGACAAATATGAGAAAAGAATACGAAATGTCCTTCGTCGTCGGTCAAGTAACCTACACAAGCGTGCGAGGTCACGACGTGATTGTATACGTCCGATGTATATACGAGCGGTGCGTGTCCCCCTGTCACTTTCCTAACCTCTCAACCAGCTCGCGTTCCACGAATGTCCCGGTGTTTCTGGTGTGGTGACCGGTGCAATAATCGATCAACGGTGATTTAATCGGACGAGAACAATAATATGATGTCGCGGTCGGTGCGCGCAGAGACTCGTAGCCGTGCCAAGGATGATATTAAACGAGTTATGCAAGTGGTTGATAAAGTTCGTCACTGGTAAGTTTCGCAAAGTAACGCTTCGAGTGCTCGTATCGGTGCGGAGGAGTCGTCGAATCTCGCGTTTGTCCTTTGTGTTCACAAAGGGCTGACCGAGCGTGAGAAGAAAATAGAGCCCGTGCTCTCTTGCTCTTATTTATCGAATAAAGATCTCGAAGAAATGTGCAGAGGAATGTTACAACAGTTGCTTACGCTTCATGTTGATATGTTCTTGTTTCTATAAGAGAGATTACAATCAATATTGTGAAATCGTTTGACTAAGGAACGTTTAATCTTTGTGGAGATTCTGATAACACCGAGAACATTGTGAAATTTCTGACAGCATGACTTTTCAGTTAGTGACTTTGAAACTTAACTTTAAGCGTGTTGAAGGTATTCGTTTTCATTATTTTGAAGTATATATAAATACATAAAGCTGAAGTACATCGTATAATTTTGTACATACATACAAATCAATTAGTACAGCTAATTAAGCTGGTTGTAATCTGTAATGTTGTAACAGGGAGAAGAAATGGGTTACCATAGGAGAAACAACTATGAAAATTTACAAGTGGGTTCCAATCTCAACGCTTGACCAGGTATTTTATGCAAAGAAATTGACACAGATCGCAATTGACGATGCAAATAATTATACCAGTTGAAAATAAATGTTTCTATTTTGTAGAAAAAAAAAGGAAAAACAGTTTCCGATAAAGAAAATGGTTTATCGAGGAAAGGAGGTATAGATTCCTCAAATTCTAACTTTGGTCTAACTGAAGATTCTAACACATGTGAGTTAGATCCTGACAATTTGTGATAATGTTATTATTATTTTTAATATTAACCAAATATTCCCCGACGCTGCAGGTTTCTCCACTGTTAGTGATTCTCAAGGTTTGACAGATTTCTCCGCCCATTTGGGATTTTCGGAGGACTCGAATTCGCAAAATAGCGAGCCTACACCTAAGAGATTGAAGACTGACTAATGTTCAATCTGACACCATCACTGCTATGTATGGAGATCGACACATTTAGGAATCGCTATTTCTTTTGTGAATTTGCACTTGGTAATTTTGCGTTGAATCATATCTCTCCATGTGGATGAACCGCGAGAGGGAGAGAGAGAGAGAGCGAGAGAGAGAGCGAAACATCTCTTCTTTCTGTTTCATCCAAATTTAGTGAAATCTACCTATAGAGATAATATCTAATATCCAATATATATATATATGATATATGTTATACAGAGTATAATATATATTATATATATATACGTGCATATAAATTATGAATAGCATTGATCCTACGGAACATTTAAATTATGTGAAATGAAGTTTATATTTTTTTACATATGAATTTATTACAAATTGTCCCATTGAATTTAGGAACTAGAAACAATTGGATAGAATAAAATGTGGCGAATGCTCAATCCGTTTATTAAATTTCGATTCCCAACAGAACACTGTTTTAAAAACGGGAATTGTGAATGTTGAGAAAAAGGACTCGATAACGAACGTACGTAAAGTTCGAGGGGAAGATTCGAAGTATAAAAAGCGGATTGTACATTCACGACGATTATAGCAACGTTGGCAGTATTATTTTTTTTTGTTTTGGAAAAACTACTTTTCTCGTTCAAACATGTCTCGCAGACAGTATGTCTCGCGAAATACTCGAATGCTTTATACGATTATGTTTGCTATAAGTTAATCGCTGGAAATACACACATACACACACACGCGCGCGCGCGCTCGCACGCACGCACGCACGCACGTACGCACACACACACAGAGAGAGAGAGAGAGAGAGAGAGAGACACACACACACCGAGAGAGAGAGAGAGAGAGAGAGAGAGAGAGAGAGAGATAAACGTACATACAAATATGTTCACACTTTCAATTAGTCGTTAAAAATCATTGTACATATCTGAAATATCATTTCTTTTGACTATCGATACTATAGGAGAACTTGCATTCCTTTGCGTTACGTTATAGCACCGTGACATGTACAAAACAAGCTTGATTCGTATAAATAAAATAGTTGAATGACCTACTGAACAGTGAGTAATTGTACGTCGGTTGCGAGAAGAGTCGCGATGTTGCTTGTCAGCCTCTCTGTGCAATGACCCTCTCTTCTCATTTCACTTTCACCGAGCATCTATCCGTCAGAAACGCATCAAATGCAAGTGATTCATAAATGTTATTTCGTCTGACTTCTCAGAAAGATTTACTTTCAAATTGTTAAGTATATGCATAAGATGCTGGATCGAAACTCGATCGCACTACTTTATCGAAAACTCGCACTTTTTTATCAAATCGTGTATAATGTATATTTAAAGCTAATTAAAATATTTACATTGATATCTAAGAACGACAAACGAAATATATATATATATATATACACTATATATTTTGCTCGTCATATATAATTTATATTACACACACACACATATATATATATATANTATAATTACAATAATTATATAATTAATAATACAACTATATAAATATATCGTTATAAATATTATGCGTAAATACGCGTATGTATATATATATATATATATATATATATATATATATATATATAATATTATAATTTATATATATATATATATATAAAGAATGAACATGTAATTATAGTTTTGTCCGATGTTGTGTGTTTTACCAAGGCAATATTTCCCCGTCGTACTGTACGAAGCAGCCGGTGTGTTTTTCTGTCAGTGAGTTCAACGTGTCCAGAATGCAGCCGACGCTGGTCTCGACGTCCATCGGAGCGTTGTGGCCGCCCAAGTCCGTGCGCACCCATCCTGGATGTAAACACGTTACCAGGATCCCATCGGCTTTCAGGTCGACGCTCATTGACTTGGTCGCGGCGTTAAGTGCGGCCTAATCCCGAACGAGATTAGATAAAATAGATAAGATATAGTTTATATTATACAAATACTTGCAAGTACGGATACAATACAAATCAACAATCGAGCCACGCATTGCTATATTCGTATTGAAACGAAGCCCAATTTTGCGAGAACACGAGAGAGTCCGCGAGATGTTGCGAATACACGGATTCTGTGAAATTTCTACGATAGTTTGAATGAATTGTACATCACGAATTACAATGTATACGCCGCAAATTTCAACTGGCACACCCTGAGTCTCATTAAAACAGTTTTGTCGTTTCTGTTTTGGCATAATTATCGAAAATTAGGCTTCGACACAATACAAATGGCGATATTTTCACATTCTACTGCTCTAGTTCAGAATTTCCCATCAATCATGCACAGAGCATTCCACTAATCTATGACAATCCGTTTGACAACATTTTGCGATTTAACGTTGTTCACCTCCCGACAAATTTCGCGTCGATCATCCAATACCACTACACGGAAATACACCAGCTCGCAAAAAACGGCGAGATCCCCTCACCTTGCTACATCTGTAGGGATAAAAACCGCCGTCTGTATTTTCAGCGATGCTGCCGAGGATGGAAGTCATATTGATCACCGCCGCTCTATTAACGCTCAGCTCTGTCTTATTCTCAGCATTCTTCGCGGCTGCCTTCAGTAGCGGTAGGAGAGCCTTCGATCAGTCATTGCGTGTTACAAGGGCATGAAGAGCTCCCCACCGGGAGAATTCGATGAACGCAACGATAAAGCGACCACAGACGTACCTTTGTCAGCATAATGGGCGCCACGGTGTTCACCAGAAGAGCGTCCGTGATCTGCTGCTTCTTCACGAGGCCGAGGCGCGTGAATTTGCTGGAGATGCCGGCGTTGTTGAAGAGAACGTTGAGACCGGCGCCCTCGACTCTCTCGCTGACCGCGTCCACGATTTTCCTGTAGCCGTCCGTGTTCGTCAGATCTGCAAGAAGGCGAAATATTTAGCACGTCGCTGACTAATTATTTACGTGAGATGTTTCGCTTAATCAATATCTCCGTTCGCCGACGTAAAACATCATTCTGAATCACGACGGTGTCTTCAAACATTTTCCAGCGAATCCAGTTTTTTTTTCCCGGGCGATAGAAATTCCGGAGGAAAAAGCCGCGAAGTTGTACATCGCCGTAATACTTGATTCTATTTTTTCTCGTATCGCGATATGAAGGCTCGCAAAGGAAACAAGGCGAAATCGTGACGTTCGAACCGTCGATTCGGACTTGAGTGACCGGGAAACCGAGGAGAACTTGAGGAACAAAGTGGAGATCAAGGTAGGGGACGAGCCGAAGAACGAGAAACCGAAGAAGGAAGAGGGAGGCCTCTTCGGATTGGAAATAAAGAGAGAAAGTTATTCCTCTTCCTCCTCGATTGTTGCGTAACGCGTTTACTTTCCAAGTACCGGCGACGTGCATTCTCATACTCTTATCTTCGAACACTTCCAGCTCGAGAGGACTCAGGCGGATAAAATCGCCCCGATAACATTATATGAAAACCCGTGTGTACCCGTATTATCAATGAGGATTAATGTCGAATGTAATTTCGCTGAATTCAGGCAGAGATACGAGTGGACAGGCGCTGCTAATCTCAACGGGATACTCGCTTGCGACAATTGACGCAAGCTGCAATTTTTGTATATTACAAACTAACGCGAATCCTGTGATGACGGATCTGCATGACGCAATAGCGCAATGCAACGGTGACTCTTCCTGAGCACAGATTAAATTAATAGATGAATATATCGAACTATAGATTAAATTAATAGATGAATAATACCAGTCACTATTGACGCGATGTGAATTTTCAATTCTCCTACGTGGCATATACGTTCTCTAAACGTATGTAATTCGATTATGGAATATCACGGGTGTTCAAAGAACGTAAACTAACACGTGCTATCTGGGATGTCGTTCAACGAATTGTTAATCGACAAGTTAATCATTTCTATCCCCGTTAGTTGACTGACATCAATTTTGAATCGACTGGATCACCCAGAACGTGACGAAAGTCACGCTGAAAATGGATATACATTGAGCGAGCGAACAAGGAACGAATAGCGAATGCAAGCTTTCATTGTTTTGGAAAATAGATATTTGATAAATTTAATCCAAAAATCATAATATTTCGAACCAATTGGCTCGTCAAGTGGTTTATCGAAGAAAGTTCGCGCGCGTTTAGAATGCGAATATACATATTACGTGTTCGTTTGTTCATTGTTTGTTCACTTGGTGTATATCCATCTTAAGACGGTAAAAATTCATAAAAAATTCCGGAATTGGGTAAGCTAACTAAAATTGAAAATTAGTTATGTAAAACTGCACGTGTAAACCTGACCTAATTAATTCTTCTGATATATACACATTTTGCACAATTAATTTTTAACTTTGATGAGTCGATTCAGTTTTAGATCAACTTTTAAATAGCTAGTTTTCGTTTCGATAACTAACTTAATCAAGTCAATTATTGTCACAACTTAGAGAAAAAGTCAATTTAGCCGAGCCCGGAAAATTCATAACAGACGCCAAGAAAGCGAAGTTGTCGACTCACCTATTTCGACGATGTGAATGTTCGGCGATTGGTCGGCCAGCGCGCGTAACTCCTGCAAAGACAAATCTCTTTTTTCTCCCTCAATTATCCCCGGTTTTTCGAGGAACATGCATCGGAAGGTCACATCGCCGATTACCGTCTCCTCAGCGATTTAACGAGGCCGTGCGGGCGGCAGGGAGAACCGGTCACGCGCGATCCGGCTAGGCCGGTTTGCGCAATCAATCGCAGAAGTATCTCGAGATCGAGCGCGATCGCTCGCTGACTCATCCGCGCCAGTCGCGGGGGGTTGAGGGGCCGCGCGAGCGTATAATAGATGGCGGTGACGGAACTCCGCGAGCGACGAGTAGGCGTTCATCGGTGTGAGTGTAACTTAAGCATCGTCCGCGCGACAGATACGAAACGGACGCGTCGACGCACGCAACTCTCGTGAATCATCGTGAAGTATTCCAGCGGGGAAAGATCCGTCGTTACACGCGAGGAGCGAAGAAAGTCGCGATGGCGCCGATCGGTAAGTGCACGCTTTTCCCCTCCCCGATTAAGCGCGCCCACGGATTGCGTAACGACGATGATAGCGACGGTTGTGACGCGAAAGTCTCCCGGCGGTCTCTTACCGTCGCCTTGCTGGCATCTCGGCAGGTCGCGAAAATATTGTCCGGCGGTTTCGCCGAGCCGGCCAGCCCCTTCACCAGGCCCAGGCCCAGGCCGCGGTTGCAACCGGTTATCAGGATCGACCTCATCCCGCGCGGTCCTGGATTCGAAACTCGTCGATCCGCGGATGAAAAGTGACCCGGCTCGTGACGTGCTCGTCGGTGCGTTTCATTCGCCAACGGCTGACGTCACATGCTCGCAATCGCGAATCGAGTGTCGCCGATTATCATGGCGACCCTGACGGTGTTCACGCGGCTCGTGTCATTTCGCAGCGCGCACGCCAAGTTGCTCGGGTTACCCGGCCGTCAACCAGCGTTGTTTGCCACATGCGTCGGCAGGAACACGATGGCCTGCATGTGCGGTGCGTCAAGTGAGTGTCGAGAGTTGCGGCGATGACGGTGCGATACCACCACCGAGCGCGGATATCCAGACCGACGGATAGTTGCGTTCTCGTAGTTATGTAAATAGTGCGCGCGCGCCGAATTCCACGCAAGCGGGACGTTTGAAAAACGGTCGGAGGGACGCCTTGGAAATATCGAATCGATTATTTTCACGTCTGATTTGTCTCGGTGATGACGACTTTTACACGCGTATAGCGGCTGGGTGTGTCCTTCGTTTCGAAAAGATGACGTTGTGAAACGCTTAACCTCTTGCAGACCGGTTTTGTCGAGAGACGTCTGTTCTTCTTAGCTGAACAACTGCACTAGTTGATAAAATTAATGTACATATCGAAACATACGCACGAGATTCTCACGCTTCAGTGTGCCTAAATTTCTCGAGCTAGTGCGGGTTCAGCCGAAAAAGACATACCGTTTGGATTTGTTCTCTTTTCCCCCCTTTCAAGAAAGAGACCTTGCATGTGATGTGTGAACGATACTCTTCCAGTGAATCAGGGCTACACGTACGATCTTTTGGTTATCGGCGGAGGATCCGGTGGTTTGGCGGCAGCTAAGGAAGCCGTAGGTCTCGGAGCCAAGGTAGCAGTTCTGGATTACGTGAGTCCCTCTCCTCGCGGTACCTCCTGGGGCTTAGGTGGCACCTGTGTCAATGTAGGATGTATACCAAAGAAATTAATGCATCAAGCTGCCTTGCTCGGTGAAGCTGTCCATGTATGCAACTATTGTAACTTATCTGTGTCGACGGTAACTTGAAGTATCCGTGACTTAACTGTCATATGTGGATTTTTAGGAAGCAGCTACGTTCGGTTGGCAACTACCAGATCCCAAGACCATCAAGATCGACTGGGAAGCCCTGAGGACTGCCGTGCAGAATCACATCAAGTCTGTTAACTGGGTTACCCGCGTCGAACTTAGAACAAAGTAAGTCCTTGTCTTTTCTCTGTGATTGATTACTTTTCTCACATATTTGCTAACGATTTTCATATTAACGTCAACACAGGCAAATTGATTACATCAACGCTTACGGACACTTCAAGGATGCTCACACTGTGGTAGGGATTACCAAGAAGGGAGAGGAGAAGGTTATCACTGCTCAAAATATATTAATTGCAGTAGGTGGTAGGCCCAGGTATCCCGATATCCCGGGTGCTCTGGAGTACGGCATAACCAGTGACGATATCTTCAGTTTGAAGGACGCCCCGGGGAAGACTCTCGTCGTCGGAGCTGGATGTATCCTTTCTCGAACTGTCGTTTCTCGTCGGACGTGTATCGCATAGAAAATTACACGGAAGACCACACGTAGTTTTCTTAATGACGAGACAGACATTGGTCTGGAGTGTGCCGGTTTCCTCAACGGCTTAGGCTACGACGCGACGATAATGGTTCGGTCGGTCGTGTTGCGCGGCTTCGATCAGCAAATGGCGAACATCGTCGCCGAGGAGATGGAGCAACGCGGCGTGCACTTCATCTACCAGGCGAAGCCCAAGAAAATCTCAAAACAGAACGACGGCCGCCTTCTCGTCGACTGGGTTGACAAGGTACGTGTGCAAGTTTAATTATAAATTAGAGTATCGTTGCATCAACGTGTGATTTTTTCAGGCCGGAGAAGTTCATCAGGACGTGTACGACACCGTTCTGTTCGCTATCGGTCGGCGGCCGCTCACGGAAGAGCTGAAGCCGGAGAACGTCGGGTTGGAGCTTCACCCGGAAACCGGTAAATTCGAGGCGATCAACGAGCAGACGAATATCCCGAACATTTACGCGGTCGGCGATGTTCTTCATGTAAGCTTGCGGATGTTTCAATCCCCGCCTCTCTCGTATCACTTAATTTGTAGCCTGTGGCATTTTTCGTTGATTATACCTCACATCGCGCAACGTGCGCATTTATAGTAATTGTCGTTAGACCGTATTCGTCATTGACCGAGATGGAACAGGGCGGAGGAGGAGGGGGGGAGAAGAGAACTTCCTTAAAAAGCCTCGTGCAATGTCAAGAGTTCTAGAAATACTACGTAGTAGAATGGACGGATTGAAACGCGCGAATATACGTGAGAGAAAAGTATGAATTGAGATGTGGAAAACGTGTGTGAATTACGTAAGGGAAAAATATGAAGATCAAAAGATAGAAATTGCGTGAGAGAGATAAGTGATTACGAGAGAGAGAAAGAGATGCAGTGTAGCTGGCATAACGATGTAGCGTTCAACGTATTTCGCAACGTTTTTGTCGCAGAAAAAGCCCGAGCTGACGCCCGTCGCCATACACGCGGGTAAACTGCTGGCGAGAAGACTGTTCGACAATTCATCCGAGCGGATGGATTACATCAATGTGGCGACCACCGTGTTCAGTCCCCTGGAATACGGATGTGTCGGACTGAGCGAGGAAGCAGCGGTTGCCCAGCATGTGGAGGAAGAGATTGAAGTTTATCACGCTTATTACAAGCCGACGGAATTCTTCGTACCGCAGAAGGACGTCAGTCACTGTTATGTGAAAGTCATCGCGCTCAGAAACGGTGATCAGAGGGTCCTTGGAATGCATTTCGTCGGGCCGAACGCCGGAGAGGTGATACAAGGATTTTCGGCTGCGATAAAGTGAGTTGTCTCGGTTTCACTTTTAACTTGAAAAAGTTAAATTCAAGTCTGCTGGAAATGTTTTAAATACAAATTTGTATTCCGAAACTTGAAATATTTTGTAGCCGCAGTTTTTTTCTGTCTTTATGTATTTCGTAACCGATTTCACGTATTTGATTTCGTTACGTTTCCAAGACTTATAAATAACACGAATATGCGATGATATTGCATTAAGTTATAAACAAAAGATCAGTCAAAATGTTCGATAGAAAAATTGATGTAACGAAAGGTTAAATACCTTATTATGCTTGCGCAGGTGCGGCTTGACATTCCCGAAACTGAAGTCCACTGTCGGAATTCATCCGACCACCGCGGAAGAGTTCACACGCGTCTTCATCACCAAGCGTTCAGGCCTGGATCCGAAACCGCAGAGTTGCTGCAGTTAGATTGAATGTCATGATTTTTTTTTTATTCAGCAGCCTACGTACCATTCGACCGTTTTTAGGAGATAGCGCAGCTCGTATTCTCGTAACAGAGATCGGTCGACTTCCAATTCGTTTTAAATGAGATTTTTCACCGCCATGTACGAGAGCGTTAATAACGCGAGGAATAACGTGCAGTATTGCATAATAAACGGTGGAAAGATCGAAAGAGAAAGAGAGAGAACACGCAATGTCGTATTAACAGTGAATTTTTTATACACATTACTTTTGCAAAGAGCGATGCATGAATGATGAGCAGGTTTTGCGGTACGTACAGTATGTAATAATAATTTATTATTCTGCACTAGAATAATAAAATGCGTACTATACCGAAATGTGATGTATCTGGTGAATACTGTAATAAAATGTAAATGTTTAAGAAAACAATAGATTAGTGACTGAAGACTATCAATGCTGTTGATTTCACAGTTTTCTAGATATCGAAAATTTCCGATCACAGGCATTATAGGTGCCAGTATTCGTGCATTATGACTTGATAATTTGACGAATTGGAAGCGATGCTTCAAAACAGCAGTCATGATGCATAAATATTGAAAAAGTGACGCGTCCAATTGGAAATTTCTGATGTCGCTGGGGAATGAGACAGCATTGGAGCCTTCTGTATGCGTCTGTCGTAACAATTTCCTCCACGAATAAAGATCAGACATCCTCCCTCCGGCCACGTTATCGTTTAATCAGTGAATGAGAATCACCGAATCCGCCTCGGCTTCGTCTCGACGGGTGTTCACTTATCTCTAATCATCTGTTCTATACGCTTTAAAAAAAGAAAGAGAATCATCTATATTCAGATCACGTCTTGAAAAACAAGAACTGGGCGCAAATTCAAGCCCCGCTTCGTCAGTTTCACGAATTTAATATTACAATCACGTTCGACGTGTTAATTAACGATGTATACCACGGCAGCTTCGATCCCCAGCGAATTTCCTTTGACGGATGCCGAAGAAGTAACGCGAAGTTTCGACGTAGACGCGAGGAAAACGTATCCGGAAGCGGCCAAGCGTGATTTCTGCCCGTTCGTGAGTGAATGAACGAAATTGCGATGACACGTGTCTTGCCGACGAATTGTCCTCGAGCGTGAAAAATGGATACATTTCCTCCAGAGATTCCGATGGTCCTTCGGGATTAATCCAGCAGTGCCGATTGTTAATCTAACTACGGACAATCGCACGTCATTGGCGTACGCCTGCTCGCACATGGCCGTGATGTACGACTACAGCTCGGAGGAAGTATCGCCGCTTCAAGGCCACGTTGGTATATTTTTTTTCCTCTCATAGTGTTACTTCCGCTTTTTGTGGAATTGACATTGAAAAGGGCCTTTTTGCCTTGTTATCCAGCAAAATGCCGTGAGAACATTATCGACCACGCGCGATGGCGAGTGGCTACTGACGGCTGATTTTGAGGAGGATTGCACGGTGGTTGTCTGGAGCACAGAGAAAAGGCAAATACTTCTTGGGGAGACAGTAAAAAAATTTAATCGTGGAAATTACGCGTTATTTTCATGCCGATTGACGTGTTACTTCAATACGGGTTTTTTGAGCGCAATCATTGAAATACGCAGAGCTCCCGTTTACACCTTATTCCACCCGCATGGAAACGAAAGTATGACAGCTGCTCGTATCAGTCCGAATGCTAAGTACGTAGTCACCGTCGGCAACGGAAAGTGCCAGGACGTTCATTTCTGGTTGCGTGACGAGGACAAACCAAACGGTTCGTTCTCTCGATTTGTTTATTCGCGTTGATCGATCTTCTTTATCCCGAGACACGATACAGCTGTCTCACTTGTGACTGATCTTTTTCATTAATTTCATCTTTTCATTGTTATTAATGTGGATGAAATTTTCAGCGTCAATCTCGTTGACCGACACAACGTCCGAGCGCGTGAAGGAAGTAATCTTCAACGACGAGTGTCCGGAACAATTTGCATTGACGACCGATTATCACGTCTTGTTTCTAACTTGGGTAACATTTTACGATCGAACGTTTTTACTAAAGTCCCTCTGTTTGTCGAAAACGGGAGAAATATATTCTTGTATAATTTTGAAGAGAAGATTATCACTATATTTTTTTCGGATTTTACGAATAAGGACGGCGACGCTTTGAACTACAATTGCCCCAAAGTATCGGCGAAACTTCGACGTACCGGAATCTTCAACGGATCTTGCTACGTTTCGAAAGTGAAACAAGTATTCACAGCGACTGCAAACGGTATCTTCTGGTTTTCAACAATCAGTTACGATTACTTATAAGTCCGACGTTATCATCGCGACTGTTCCAGGATGTATCTTAATATGGGGCGACGTTCCTCCAGAGGGAAAGCGCGAGACCGACGATCCCAGTTACAGGAGGAACCAAAGGAAGAAGCACATCAAGACTGTAGATTTACAGAAATGCAATATCACCGTCATCACCGATTACGAAGAGTATCGTCTACAATCTGATAATTGCGTCATAAATTTCGCAAATTACGATTAATATCGCGTTGATATCGCAGCATGCTCGTTACGGGGAACTCGGACGGCCGTATCGCTTTCTACGATTATCAATTAAGACTTCTGTATTGGTACAAGAACTGCGATCTTGACTGCATTCGATGGATAAGCTTCGATCTTCGATCTGATCTGCGAGCTTCGACGATTGAAAAGCCGAGTCACCCGCCGACGGACGCTACTCTGCACTGCTCGCCGTTCAACGTCCAAACTTTTCTCGCTTGTAAGACTTTTATCTAGAAATATTTTACGACTTGCCTAACAAAACGTAAATCATCAGTATCTTCTTTTTCCTGCGTCAGGTTCTTGTACGGGAATAATCGCTTTGATAGATATTCCGAAGCAGAAATATTATTCCGTGTTGCGCCACTCGGTTGTGGCCGCGACCAGTTTGGACGCTAATCCAGAAAGGTAAAAGGATTTAATTGACGAATTTACACGGAAATGAAATGATTGTCGCGATTTTTTTTCCTTCAATTGTCACAATTTCCGCAAGATATGTAGCGGTAGTTTCTCAACCGCAGCAACCACGTCGTTGTGGGGGACGCACAGGGCACTGTACGCCTGTACAATCACGAAGAACTCGTCCTGATCACTTCCAGGAGCACTTTAGACTTCCAACCGATTCTCGAGGAACAGATAATGAGCGGAAATGTCGCTTTTGTCACGTGCCCGCAAACCCACGAGTCATTAAGAGCCGTCACGGCTGTAAAATTTTCGCCAAGATGTACGCATCACTGAACTCTCGAGTTTTCTTCTCATCGTCAAGATGAAGAAAAAAGCTTGTCTTTCTCAGGCGATATGCTGACGTGCGGTTTGGAAAATGGGGCGCTTTGGATCCTGCATCACATTACCCTAGATTTATTGAACGAAACACCGTACAAGCACTCTGCCACGGCCATTAATAAAATCACCTTCACGCAGTGTGCCGGATACATGGCTTACGCGGTAAGAAAGAGTTCACGCTTTTAAGGAATCACCATGGAAAGTGTCTCCCACTTCTCTTTCTCGAAAAGCGTTGTCTGCCGAGCTTATTTCCAAATATAATTTGTAAATTACTTGGAACTTGCACACGTAACTTCTTCAGAGAATATCGACGAGTTTATTCCTGTACTGATTAACAGCATTTTTCTTGAGAAAAATTACCCTTTTACGTTTTTTTACAATTACTCTCACAAATTATATTTTCGCATATACGCGTGAAGTGTCTTTTGCGAGACTTAAGATCTCGAAGTTCTACATTTCTTCGCGTATAACGGGGTACTCACCTTTCAGGACAATGCGCTGACGGTGGTGGTATTTAAAAGGAGCAACACCGCCTCCACGGGAAACACGTGGGACTTGATCGGAAAACATCACTCGCATTATCTGCCCATCAGGGACATACTTTTCGGGCTTTCGGGCCACGTGTCTGACTCCAAAACACCACGGTTCTTCTCCTTGGGAGAGGATCAAGAACTCGTCGAGTACGATCTCGAGCACAGGTAAATCGCGCGTATCTTTAGAATTGTTGCATCTATTCAATTGACCCGATCAGATTGTCTCAAGCGGTTTGTAATAATTTTGTCGGAATATTCAAAGTATAATTACAATACTTATAATCTATATTATGTATATATTTACGCGACGGCGTGAATTCAACGCGGACAACATTTCTCGACTATAACGGTTAATCTGATGAAATCCAGAGATATCTTTAGGAGGTCTTAATTTTTTAAATTGAAAACGTCTTTAGGAGGTTCACTTTTACTGAGCGTTAACTTTTTGATAGCATTTTTTGAGAATACAAGATTAAATTGGTGTAGCTCAGAATTAATGTTTAATACATTGAATTTTATTATAATGTTCTCTCAGAAACAATTTTTTTTAATATTTAAAAAGAACGGTTACCGTTTGGTTCCTTTTTTTACCTTTTTTTGAAAAGGGTAATTTCTTTTATCATAGCGGGCCTTATCCAGAGCCAGGGCTCAAGATCTTGCACATCAAGCGAATCGAGCACACCGCCACTCCTCTCTGCTTAGCGCGGTACCCCGGCAACGGGAATATCTTCGTGATCTCAAACTCCGAGGTAATCCTCGAGCTGTCTTATTTCACTCCAGAATCTGCGAGTAATGATGCACGATCATGATTGCAGTACAAGTACAAGATTTTCGACGACGTCACTAAAATGATTCGCGGTACTTACTTAGGTCCAACAATAGGAGAACCAGTACAACGTTTCCAAGTTGTTGATTTGTTCGATATTTTATGATTTATCTAGTATTCGTGATTGCGTTGAAATCATTGTAACATCGGTAGGTTCTAACAGATGAACTGGTGGACGACAAAGGCTACATGGTGTTTGCTACCGACAGGGAAATCGGTCTTCAGCTTCTACCTCTCGACGGTAATCCTTACAAGATCCACAGTATGACGGGTCATCCGCAAAAAGTTAGGCATTGCACATTTATGAAGTATCCTTCTTCTACGAAATGGCATGTATATTTACATATATTCCGCTTTTCATCGCAGATAATGGACATCTCCGTCAGCAGCAATAAGGAAATCATGTTTACCATAGGCTACAATGACCCGTGTGTCTTAATATGGGAAATCAATTTCAAGTGAGAACACCTTAATAAAATAGTTGAATTTCGTTATAGTAAATTTTGAAATCAGAAGCGAAAAATAATTTTTCTCATAATTTCGTATTATACTGATAAAAGAATTACACATGCTTTTCACAATGTTATCAATGGGTCAGGAAAAAATCCGTTTGCCCAGCTAGGAGTATATACGATCTCTCGCTCTTCTGACGTCATCGTCTTAATTGGCTGCAGTGACACGAAGCTTGATGTCAGGCTGTGATTAAGATAATATTTTTTTCCAGTTCTGTTGACATAGTGGCGCGATCGGGCGGCCGAGGTATCTCACCTTACCATTGTCTCATCGAAGGTGGAGAAAAAGGATGGCTGATGAATGAGATGAAAGATCTGTTTGACTACGCCCAGATCTTGCATCAAGGAGAGTACACAACCGTTGCTAGAGTCATTACCGACACTGTGACCGTCGAGAGGATTCCGAATCTTATGCGAGCTGTCGGATATTATCCCAGCAATGAAGAGGTAATATTTGACGTTGGTGGTGTTGGTGCCGTGTTGTAACGCGTTCTTCTAATTTCATATCGTAACATTTTTGTTCTTATTTTGATTTTATTCTTTCTTCCCTTGCTTCTGTATATCTTCTTGCATCTGGAGTTTAAACAAAAGGATTTACAGTTACAAATTAAGTATAATATGAATAATATCCGCGTGTGCAGCCAACATGTTGACGTGCTATGAAGCTAGAAATTTGCATGTTAGCATGATGGTTTCTGAAAAAAGTCTGCGGAACGCGGAATTTTCGGAGCTACATGCGGATTATTTTGCTAAGACGGATCAACTTTAGATAGAAAACATTACGAGAGAAGTATGCTGCAGAGATCACGTTGAAACCGGCAAGCTTCGCGAAGAGATAACATTCGAGGAATTTGTGCGGCTTTACTTGAATCATCGGCCAGCGTTCGGACTCACCGTTGATCACACTAAGCGGGCTTTCCATGCTTTCGTAGAAGAGCGTTTCGCCAGCGTAGAGGATCCTTCCTTAACGCGAGAACAATTTGTAGACACATTACTTGGTAGAGTAATATCGGAAGCTTCGTCCGAACGTCAGAAGCCTATCGGTACATTACTTATTAATACTAGATTCTGCTGAAAAAGTGACACATAAATCCAACTTTAAACCATTAGGTATAAACCGATTGGTAATATTTAAAATGATATAGTCAGATCTTATATTTAAAATGACATAAGATATTGAAAATTCACTTACAACCCCCTTAATCGTAACAACCAACGAGATGTTGAACCGATTTCTCTCATCACAGGTGAACCGTTGTCTCTTCAGGAAGCACACGCGTGTCTCAGACTGTTCGCGCCGTTCGATAAGGAAACGAGCGAAACCGAGCAGCCGTCATTCGACTCGAAGATTCTTCCAGCGGTAACCGGCCACGCGATTTGTTTGAAAAACGATCGAGGGTGATGGAATGCAGAGTAGGAAAGACGTCATTAGGCTTCCCGAGAGTAATGTATTGTTTACGTTATGATACAGAGAATATCTTACAAAGATTTCGCCATGGACATCATGGGTGTCGAATTGCCGGAGGGAGAAAACTAGGGCTGACAAATCGAGGGATCAGCGCGACTTTCGCATCGTCGGTACTCTAAGAGGCGTTTATCGGCTATCGTACCGCTGTGTAACGCGAGCTGCATTATCGGAACGCAAGCAATCCACAAATAAAAAACAATGACAAACTGCGACCTCGGTTTTCCGCTAGTAGAGTTTGGATGAAGATTATATAAGAGAAGCGCTAGGAAGAAACGCGGGCGAAATTGCCGTCGACGTGTTCGTGTTTCGTTCGTTGTCCGTTCTCTCACGACTGATGCAAAAGGATACAAAGGACGGATACAACGAAACTCGAAAGAATCGGATGTGAGAGAGCGCGACGAATCGCACTCCTCGCGTCCTCGTCTCCGTAATACTGCTCGGTGGATATTTGTGAACTTTTCCGGCGTCCCCTCGTACTTTTGTGATTGCCGCGCGCGTTGAACGTCTCTGTGTGTGTGTGTGTGTGTATGTTATGTGTATATATATATAGATATATATTTATATATTTGTGCATACAATAATCGGTGATATGCCTGAATCAAACCGTGGCGGCGGCTCGTCGAGGAGGAAGCGGAGGGTTTACGCACGCAAAGAGGAGCAGATTTTCAGTTCTGCGAGCGCACGAAAGTGCTCCGCACAAAGCCTCACTTAAAAAGCTCCCCCTTTATGCCTACGCGCCCCCTACCACCCCCTTTCCGACGAGGGCCGCGTCTTGATTCTCTCGCATCACTGCGCGCTGCACACACATATATTTTATACACATATATCTATATATGCGATATCGTTTAATCAATTGATTGTACATTAGCGTCCAGAGGTTGGTGCTCGCTCACCTTCTTGCCGATTTGTTACAACTCTTGTCTTTACGCTGATACGTTAATAAGAAAATTAGTCTCGGCGGCTACGACTCTATTATCGCTCTATCGTTCGGGTTCTCTTTCTCTCTCTCTCTCTCTCTCTCTCTCTCTTAATGTGGCACAAAACTGTCCGTAGTTTTCGAAAAAGGACGTCGTCGTTTCGCTCAAAAAATATCCTTCTATTTTTTTTCTTTTTTTCGACAATACGAGATAGACTAGAAGCAAGAAAAGATTCGCCTCTCGAGAAGTACATCGCTTTGAGAAAGCGTTGAAAGGGTGATGGTGATCCAAAAAAAAAGAAATAACGTCTCAATAACGACTAATCAATCAGAGAACGTGGTGCAAACTTAACGGGTCTTCGATTAAAAAATTTAGAACGGTTTAATCGTGACTTAAAAAAAAAAAAAGAGAGAGAAGAGAAGAAACTACAGGACCGCGCGTGTCCGCTGCGGCTCGTTGTTCGAAGAACCGGATTCGTGCCGCTTCACTTTGGTCTTTTTCAAGGTGATGAAGAGATACACGAGTTTCTAGCGCGGACAATCACAATGGCCTGTTATGGTGGGAATATTCCAAATCGTAAAACACAGCCCTGCCCTCGCGAAGCTAGGCTCTCTCTCTCTCTCTCTCTCTCTCTCTCTCTCTCTCTCTCTCTCTCTCTCTCTCNGACTCTCCCGTACTTTGTGATCTACTACTTCTACCTACCTACCTACCTACCTAATTCATCTACCTATCTACGCTAAATATTTATACATGGCGCTGTGTTGAAAGAAGTACAAAGAAATGTACAGAAAAAACTGCTGATTTCACTCTTAAAAATTCTACGGCGTATTTACAAGTATGTACAGACCCACACACACGCGCACACACACACACACACACACACACACACACACACACATGCACTTCTCCGTCTCTCTCCCCCTCTCCCGCACGACAGGCTTAAGAAAAATATCAACAGTGGAACCGGTAGAGCGTCTCTCTTCGCTGGAAAAAGAAAGAAGGGTAACGAAGAAGAAAGAAGGGGAACAACTCGCTAGCAACGCGCCTAGAAAAGCAACTCCGTCGAATTTGGTAACACCGAGCGGGTGGACGGGCCGGGCCCTCCGCGCCGTCGTCTCGCGCTCGCTCGCGCGCCCGACGAAACTATCAATCGCAGTACTCGTCACTGTTCTGCGTGATGTTGTGCTTCTTCCGGCAGTCGGGGCAGTACCACTTGCCCTTGGGCGGCACCATGATGCCGACGCACTCGAAGTGGAACCACTCGATGCGGCAGTCTTCGCCGTCGCAGGCGATCATCTCCGATACCTCGTCGTACGGGCACTGGCAATAACAATAAATCTTGACGGGTCGTTCGGGGCCCGTCTCGTTGGCCGGTATTAGGCCGACGTTGTAGCTCCTCCTCTGCTCGTTCTCCACTGTGTCGTCCACGTCGATCTCGGACTCGGTGCTCTCGGCGCTGCTGCTCTCCGCGGCACCCTCGGACTCGGTGGCGGACGCCAGAGTGACCGGCAACGCCTGCTGCTGGCTCTCCACCGGTCTGTAGGCTGTCTGCTGCACGACCTTGCCGAAGGATAATCTCGAAGGCGGCACCGACTTCGGGCTCGGCGGCGGCGGCGCGAAAGCGACGGCCTCGACGGGCTTCCTGCTCCCCCATTTGTGCGCCGCCTTCTCGTGAGGCTCGTCGTCGCTCGAGTCCCCGTAGAAGCGCTTCGGCACGCGTTTCCTCTTGGAAGACCTCTTATTCTCCGCCTCCGAGCCGCTGCCGCCTACGTTGTGACTCGCCGGGTTCGCCGTCTGCAGCGTCTCCGTCGCGTGAACGTCATTGGGCAGATTCGGCGTCGACGACCTGCTCGACAGCATCGCCGGCGACGAGACGGCGAACGCCGGGCTCTTCTGGTAGTACGCTTTGGGAATGTTCAGCTTGATCGACTCGACGGTGGCGTTGCGTTTGTTCGCCCTCTCGCCCTTCCGCCGCTTCTTCGTCTTGGTCTTCCTCTTCTGCGCCGGCCGGTCTTCGGTCGCCGGCGGCGCCACCTCCGGCACGCCGTTGTTCAGCTGGCCGGGCCGTTGCTGTTCCACCGACGTGGAGACGGTGGCCAGCAGCAACAGCTGATTGCGCTTCTCCGCCAGCAGAGTGTTGTTGAGCGGCTGCGGATGTTCGTCGTAGAAATCCTCGTCCGTGACGGTCTCGTCGGTCTCCAGGTCGGACTCCCGCATCGACGGCAACGCCGGCTCGCTCGCCACCACTTCTTCGTCCACCGTGATGATGCCGTTCTCTTCGATCGTCACCTCTTCTTTGTTCTTCGGCTCGACCGACCGGCTCTCCTTCTCCTTCCGGGCGCGCCGGCCCTTCCTGGGCGAGCTCTCGGACGTCGAGCTGTCGGAGTCAGAGCTGCTGCTGGAGCTGGACGAGCTGCCGGACGAGGTGCTGCTGCAGCTGCAGTTGGTGCCGCAGGAACAGCTGGTGCTGTCGGTGTCGCTCGAAGAGTCGCTCGACGACGTGCTGCCGCTGCGTTTCTTCTTCTTCGGACTCCTCGCTTTCGCGCGCTTCGCCGTCTGCTCGGTCTCGGCGACGTTCTTCGGGCTGGGGGACCGACTCCTGCGGTCCTCCTCCCCCTCCTTCGAGGTCGTCGCTCGCTCCCCGTCCTCGGGCCACACGACGCAGTAATCGTGGTCGGCCAGGACGAGGCTCCTGAGGTAGGCCGGGTCGGGCGGAGTCTCCTTCAAGCCGGCGGCGAAGCTCTGCCCGGACTCCTTCATCTCCAGACTCGCGGCGTAGCTCTTGAAGTTGTCCCATATGCCGTCCATGATGCGCGCTTCCTGCTTCTTCTCCTCCTCGTTGCGCTCCACGTCGACGACGATATCGTCGAGCAACGCGGCGTCGACGGCCTCCTCCTCGACGGTCTCCCCGGCGTTCCTCTCGGCGCCTGCCTTCTCCTCCTCGCTGTCCGTGTCACTCTCGGACGACAGGTTGAGCGGCGGCAGATCGTAGACGTCCACCACCCTCTTCACAGCCTCTTTCGCGTCCTTGACGATCTCCGTCGCCTCGCACGTCGTCGTCGTCGCGTCCTTCTCGGCCGGTCCCTCCGCCGGCGGACGAGGCTCGTCCACGTCGGTGACGTTGACGTCGACGCTCCGCGACTCGGGCTCCCTGTGGCTCAGCTGGTGCTTCGCCAGGAGCTTCCGCGAGATGAAGCGGTCCGCGCACTCGTCGCAGCCGTACGGCAGGTTCGCCGAGTGCAGCCTCTTGTGCACCTTCAGGGCGACCGCTCGCTTGAACTTGCACTCGCACTCGTCGCACTTGAACTCCGCCGGCGGTATGCAGAAGTGGTAGATGTGCGGCCATTTCTTCTGCACGCATTTCCGGCAGAGCACACTCTCGGTGCCGTGCTTCCAGAACAGGTGCTTCGTGATGTCCGGCTTGTTGCGGTAGGCGATGCCGCAGCGGTAGCACAGGTGGTGCAGCTTGTGCTTCCACACGTGGTTCGAGAGCCGCTGCTGGTTGCCGGTGGACTCCAGGCAGACGTCGCAGGCGTGGTGTTGCTTGCGCAGGTGCACCATCAGCCGGAAGGACGAGGGCAGGCTGCCGACCGAGCACAGGCAGCATCGGTAGCGGAGGTTCATGTTGGGCGAGTAGACGCCCGGGCACAGGTGGCACAGCAGCTCGCTGTAGCTGTAGAAGGTCGACTTGCACATTATGCAGATCAGTATGGTCTTCTGATGCATCTTCCGGTTGTGCAGGTAGAGCTCCTTGTGGACGGTCGAGTGGAACCTGCAGTGGAAGCACTCGTACGTCCTCACCTGCGGCACGTTGCACGTGCCCTTCGCGCTGTCGTAGGTGCTGAGGTTGAAGTAACGGCACTCCAGCTCGTCCAGGGAGCGCTTCACCCGCGTGGTGAACTGTTCCGCGTGGATGATGATCGCCGGGTGCTGAGGTTGGAACTTGTGCTCCGCCAGCATGTGCAGGCCCAGCTGCTTCCCGTTCACGGCGATGCACCGGGCGTGGTTGCAGTAGACGCAGAGCGGACTGGCGGCCTCTATGCAGCGCTTCAGCAGCTCGTTCAGCTCCATGCTGTCCAGGGTGCCCTCGACGTTCAGGTCGACGCAGGGCGTGTCCTCACCGGCCAGGGCGATGCCGTCGTCGTCGTTCCTCGCTTCCTCACCATCCGGCCCTTTCGCGCCCTCGTTCGGCACGTCGGTCTCCTCCACCACGTCGAATAGCCCGCCGCTCACCTCACCGTCCATCTTCGTCTCGTCCTCCTCCGGATTGCTGTCCACCACCGCCAGTTTCTCACTGTCGGAGTCGCTGTCGTCGTTCCCCTGCTCGTCGCCGAGCACCTCCCTCTCCCCGTTCGCGAGTTTCTCCTTCGACGCGGTGGACCCCTCCGCGTTGTTGTTCTCCTCGGAGGCCCGGCTAACGGCGGCGGCACTGGTCACGCTGAACTGAGAGTTCCTGTTGGTGCAGATCTTGATCACCAGGCTGCGGTCGGAGGAGGCGTTGAACGAGACCGAGAGCTGAGATTCGCCGACGCTCGGCGACTTCTCCGTCGCTGCTTCCTCTTCCTCTTCCTCCTCTTCCTCCTCCTCCTCCTCTTCTTCCTCCTCCTCCTCCTCCTCCTCCTCTTCCTCCTCCTC